GGGGCCGGGTGCTTCGGCGGCGGGGCGGGCGCACTGACTGGCAGAGTCGCAGACCCGTGGAGATGGCGACGCTCTGTCTGACCGTGAATTCAGGAGACCCTCCCCTGGGTGAGAAGCCGATGCGGCCGACCCGCGTGGGTTGCATCAGCCTGGGAGGGTGCGGGGCGGGAAGGTCGCCGCGCCCTGGCTTTGCGCAGTGGCGATCGCGGTCAGCGACATTAGGCCTGCCCCTCTCCCCCGACTGTACACGGGGAAGGCTCCGCGCCCCTCACCTTCTGTCCCCCGGCAGGTGGATCTGCTCCCGAAGCCAGTTTTCTTGGGCGTGGAGGGAGGAGCGGTATGAGCCGCGACACCAGGGCGACACGAGGCTCGGCCCGAGGCTTGTGTCTTTTTCGGAGGGATGACTCCCACCTGCCGCCCCCCCCCACCTCCCTTTCTGAAATGATTTCCCCTGGAGACGAGAGCCGCTCGTAGAAATAACATCTTGACATTTAAAACCCTATTATCTTCGCTTCCCCTCTTGTAGCATTACCCCTTCACGTCTATTTATCATCCCTCCCTCCCTCTTTCGAGAAAAGATCTTCGATCCACTTGATTTTTCTTACGTTTCATTGGGTTCAAAGCAAACAAGGCAGACGATCGTAGTAGCAGTATTGAAAATTTCAGCTGAGGTTGCGTTTATTTTTAATTAAGGTAGCAGGGTAATTAACTGGTAGAACATCCAAGCACACTGCGGAGTGATGAGGTTGCTTTACTACACGCCCTGTAGATGTGGTAAATGTCGGACTAGACGTCACACCTGTCACTTTCCTGATACGTCTTCAGTTAGACTTGAAATTGCATTTTCAACGTGGCCAAGGTTATTGTGTATAGATAGCTTGGAATTTCTGCCACTTTATTGCATTGGGAAGTCACACAAAAGTCTAGTTTATCAATCTCATATTTGTTAATGCATGTGTATAGTATAGATGCCGAAGTACTTTTCGAATGTTCAAGAAGCCCAGATCTCTAGGTACAATTGGCCATGAAGGGCCGACAAATTACACATTACATTTTCAAGTTCGGTGCTGTTCTGAGTGTATTGTAACAAAACCCACAATTTAATAGCCACTTTAAACATTTTTAAATGCTAATGTTTTAGCATATTGGTTCCAGTAATGATGGGCTAACCTCACACAGGTCAATGAACTCTAAAAGAAATGGCTTTGATCCTTGGGCCACGAAGCACTAGACAGTGCGGTCTCATAGTTAAGTCCAACCCTGCCTGCCACTTACTCGTTGTAGAACCTATAGAACCTTGGCAAGTCCCTCGTTTGGCATCTCACACAGTTTCCTTGTTTAAGAAAGGAAGAATAGTATCTGCCACATAGGATTGGTTGCCAGAATTAGGGGACAAAGGATTAATGAATCAATTTGGTAAACTTTAATATGTGTTGAGAGGCAGATTACACTGTGTTTTAGATTTTGAATTCTGGACTGCCTTAGACCTGTATTCAAACTCCGATTGCCATATATTTAGTCATGGACTTTGGGCTAGTTATTTAACCCCTCAAAGCCTCAGTTTCCTCTTCTGTAAAATGTACATAAAGGTTTTTACCTCTTAAGGTTACTACAAAGATTAAACATTATAAGGACTGTAAAGTGTTTAGCACAGTGCCTACCATGTAGCAATCGCTTAAATGCTATTAACAGTGGCCTTTATACAAGGCATTATGTTCATTTCTTCTTGTCTCAGGAAGGAGGAAAAAATTCATTTCTGAGTCCCTAAAATAGAAACCGCGCATATCGGAAAGCACTTGGACTGTGCCAGTGAATCCTTTCTGCTTTGTTAATTTCTCTAAGACCGGAAGACTGGTATTTTCTGTTTACAGATACTGAGGAAAAAAGTTTGCTCTTTGCAGGACTTAACAGTCGTTTGTTGAGTCATCCTTACTGCTTTATGATTCAAGTTTTAAATACTATATTGCTTATAAAGTGAAGTCTTTTCATCTTATTTTTAGGCGCTCTGCTGGCAGTAGAACATGTGAAGGACAATGTCAGCATTTCTGTTGAAGAAGGGAAAGAAAATGTCCTTCGTGTGTCTGAGTAAGTGCTTTCATATCTGTGTTCAGTGCTGAACAGCATTTTAAAAATACTCGGGATTAAACGTTGCATGCTTGTTTATTTGCTAATTGGGAGCTTGTCCCTAGAGAGAAATATTCTTTTCTTCATTCTAAAAGAACTGTATCTAGAGTCTCATATTTGTCAGCAGGCAGTCTGATTCCACTTGTAATCTATTTAAAAGAAACTAGAAATGTACAGAAAGATTTATACATGAGGATTTTAAATTGTAATTTGTTCTGGTAGAAAATGTGAAATGTTTAAAATCAGTGATAGGAAATAAATAAATTTGGTAAGAATTATTTTATAGCTATTGTTACTTCTCCTTAGTTGCTTTTTCTTTATAGTTTGATGTCTTTTTTAAAAATAATTTTTACAAAACAATTTTGATAAAGTTTGATCTATCATCTTCGCCCGGAAGTTGATAAAACTAGCTTCTTTATGACAGTCTATCCTTGGCTTTGCTGCCTTGATTTATTTTAAACCACTGTTATTCTCAGTAGCCCAATTATAGTTTTTATTTTCACCACTGAAGAGACATGTAGAAACTAATAAGAGAATGGTACATCATATAGTTAGTCTACTCTGAAGTCAGTTGTTGGATTTAGCTGACCGTTTCAGAACTAATTGGAATATAATAGAAACAGTAAAGAACAAATTAGATCTATTATTTTTTAAGTCTCATGACTCTTACTGATTTGCTAGAGCCACAGCAGAGCTTCATGTCATGCTTATGTTCTAGAAACGTGGTGTTTACGGACATAAATTCCATCCTGCGCTACCTGGCTAGAGTTGCAGCCACGGCTGGGCTCTACGGCGCCAACCTGATGGAACATGCTGAGGTGAGGACTGCGCATCCTCTTGGGTGTGTTTTGTTTTGGTTTGTGCTTCCGCTCTTGTGAGAACTTTGTTTCACTTTTGGATTATGTACCGTTATTCTCTGTAAGGATATTAACAGAGTGTTAGTTACGGACCAAATTGAGGAATTCTCATCCTGTTTTTATTTTCAGGGAAAAACTCTTAGCTCCTCAATTTGAACTTTTAATCGCATACCAGCTGTCCTGTTGGGTTATTGAGTGCTGTCTTCCTCTTTCTAGATACCTGGAAATTCATAGCTGGATGTGACTAGATAGATGATCTTATATAAACCCCATACTTTATTTACAGTTGAGGCAACAGCCCCAGACAAGTTAGCTTTGCCAGGCTTATATTCATTGTTTGGATTCCATTTTCCTTTCTAAGTATATTCCTTAATTATAGCAATAGTAGATTAATTTGTAGTACTGCATTTAGATCCTAACTTTCCTAAATCTTATCAAATTCAAAATACAAAGAATAGTTTCCAAGTATTTACTGTTAAATTTTGCAAGTGGGTGAACCTATTCGGGTGCCACCTGTTGGGTCCAGTCAGGTTGGTCCTGCTGCCAGTTCTCATACCTTTCTTTTTCTTCCGGGAAGTACCCCTCAGTGCCCGTGCAAAAAAAGAAAGCAAAGAAAAATAACAAAATGTGTTTATTTAAGTGCCAGGCATCAGAATGAAATCCACGTCATGGTAAATTCTGTCACTGAGATAAGAAAGTCATGGTACTAACTGTGGTTGGTCGCTTTTGTTTAAACTCTGGGCTGCATTTCTTTCCTGTCTTTATGTTCACAGATCGATCACTGGTTGGAGTTTAGTGCTACAAAATTGTCTTCATGTGATTTGTTTGCCGCTGCGATCCGTGAGCTCAGTCACTGCCTATCTCTGAGAACGTACTTGGTTGGAAACTCCTTGAGCTTAGCAGATGTGTGTGTTTGGGCCGCCCTGAAAGGTATCAGTCCTTCTTCTTGACGAATGTTCCACTTTAATTATTTAATGTTACTGGGTAAGAAGTACACACACTTCTGTGGACACGAACATCTATCTATCCATCTATCGGCAGTCAGTTAGGACTTTCTTGCAAAGGAGCGACCACCCTGGCTACTTTATCCCTGTCCAATCCCAGGAATTCCCTGTCCTCTGCTGTCCCTAGACGTCGTGTCTCTTTTGCTACCTCCCCTCCCCTCTCGCCTTTGGAGCTGACGTTGCTCTTGCCGAGGAAGCGAAGCCCTGGTCCCACTATGTCAGCTCCTCCCGTCTGGGCTGTTAGTTTTCTCCAGGCGCTGCTGTCTGATGGCTCAGGAGGTGTGCGTGAGGGGGTGGTGGGGTGACCTGGAGTTGTTCCTCTCGGGGGTTACTTTTTCCATCTTCCACAGCTAGCTTGCAACAGGTGAGAATATGGGACTGATGATAGGTACAAGGGGGACTTAAGTTTTGTTTATTTCCTGTAAAAAAAAAGAACGAAGCAAATATGCAAAAATGTTTAATTATTCTTTAAGTTGGAGTTATGTGTTTTTAATCTCTATACTTTTTTGTGGTTTAAAACTTCTCTCCAAATTAAATTGTTGCAATAAAAACCAACATAAAGTGAAGGCCTTTTCTAGTTAGACCTTTTCATCTGTAGGTTTATTGTGACATTTTTGTGTGTTTTGATTTTTGACTTAACGTTCACGCAGGGGAAATAACGTCTCGACGTAGCTTTGTGGCCACATGGGCCTTAGAGCGGGTACGTGGCGGTGGCCGAGGCAGGGTCTCGTGTTCGCTTCAGTGAGCTGAACTGGAAAACTTTTTAATTAACTTTATGAATTCTGTAAAATACGTTCAAGTATTAGAAGACATGTCAACGTATGCCTGAATTTTTAAAATCTCATTCTAGAAACACAACTAAGTCGTCTCATTTACTGTAAGTTAACCGTGAATGGGACTTGGCTCTGGAAGTTGCAGGTTTATTGACTGGTTTTAAAATGATGTTTGCCATTAGGAAACGCTGCATGGCAGGGACAGTTGGAGCAGAACCAAGCGCCAGTCCACGTAAAGCGCTGGTTTGGCTTTCTCGAAGCCCAGCAGGCCTTCCGGTCAGTAGGTGCCAAGTGGACTGTCTCAGCCACCAAAGGCAAAGCGGTAAGCCTTTTATTTTTTTTTTATTGCTGACCTATTTGTCTGAGACCCCAGGCCTATTTGTAGTTTCTTTTCTTTGAATGAATGAAAAAGGATCTTCTTGGACGAATCTGCCGTCATTAAGTCTTGGCTCGCCTTTATGACTGAGAAACGACATAAAGCCTTAATCTTCATAATTATGTGTTTGGAAGATCATGATCTTCCAGGGCGTGTCCCTCTGGAAATCCAAACTTCAAATAACTGAAATCTCGTGATTTTATAGTTACACCAGCTTTTCTCCCTCCTAAGTCTCCATTCTCTGATTTTTTGAACCATTGACCATGGCGTCCTGGGCTTCTGCGGAGTCTGTCTGTCGATTCCCTGGAAGGTGTGAGTAGAGGACACTCGCACAGCTCCTCTCCCCCAGCCCAAGTCGCTCTGCTTTGGTCTGTTTTGCATATTACGCTTGCGTAATAAAATTAGGATTTAAAGACTTTCCGAAGCAGTGAAATTTGAAAACCTCTACGTGCTTGGATAAAGACACTACAGTCCCCTCAGTTTCGCTAAAAATCCTCGCTCGTCTTTCACCACTTTCCACATCAGACCCGTCGACAAGTCCTGTTGTTACTTCTCATATCTGTCAATCCGTTTTCTGTCTCCACTGTTGTTGGTTGTTATTGAGGCCTCATTACCCTCTGCTTGATTTAATACCATAGTCTCATCACTGAATTTTCCTTCTTTGGTCTCTTTTTTTCTAGTTCAGCCTCTGCACTGTCCTGGGTATCATATTAGAAAATACAAATAAATGGTCCCATTACTCCTGAGAGCTTCCCATTGCCTAAAACGTAAAAAGCAGGCTTACGACGTTCACGTTTGAACCTAATTGACGATCTAGCTCCTGGCCCAGCCCCTTGGCACGCCTCCTTAACCGTTCACGGGCCACACTGCCCGCCCCTGCCTTCGGTCTCACCTGTGCTGGCCCCCCTTTCCTCGGAGTGAATGCCTTTGCGCACTGTCCATCTGACACACAGCCACTTATTTTTCACGGTCCAGCTTAGTTCTTACCTCCTTGGACACTTTTCCCGATTACCCTAAATGCTATTGATGAACTTTAACAGCCTCCTTTAACAGCCCCCTGAATGTATACATATCTGTTACTGGTATTTGGTTTTATTTACTTCCTTCACAAGATTTTGAGGCTTCAGGTGCAAGGATGATGTACTAGCCATTTTTCTTATAACCCTGCCTGGCACATAGTGGGTAATGTTCTTAAATGTTTAACCATAAAACTACTTTTGTTTTTGTTCTGCTTTGTAGGCACCTGAGAAAAAGCAGGATGTTGGGAAATTTGTTGAGCTTCCGGGTGCTGAGATGGGAAAAGTTACTGTCAGATTTCCTCCAGAGGCTAGTGGGTAAGAAAATATAACTTAAAGTTACAATAGAATGTGTTCGATGGAAAATCTTCAGACATTGTCGAATATTTTTAATAATAATAGGTTAATGATATAAAAGAAAATAAGATTTTAATTGTGGGAATTAAAATTTTACACATCCTAATGCTTTCTTAATTGACATTTAATGTATTAAATTTATAGTTTTAGTTTATTAAGTCAATAGATGAGATGACATTTGTATTTTACCCCAGATAGTATTTTAATTATAATAGCAAAATATCCATAAATAGAAAGCCTTCGGTGTCATTTACACTTTGAGATTTGTAGGCTTTTGTTTCATAAGGATTTGTATTTGTACCCTGAGCAATCCTTTTATGAGCAGAAGAAGTTATAATAGAATTAATTTTAAGTTATTTTTTTTTCCCCTAAATGACGGAAGGAGAGTCCCGAAAAGCCACTTCCTATTCAATTTTTTTTTTATTATTATTAGCAGGTTTCCCAACCTTTTTCCCTCTTGGCACCCAGAGAAAATATTAGTATTTGACTAGCTCGTTAGGAAAAAGACTGTTCTGGCTCGAGACTGCCCAGCACCCCCAGGCAGGGGGAACCTCCGCCTCTGCGCACCTGTCAGCTCCTTTGAAGCAGGCCTTGTAATAGATCCCTTCCAGTGACGTTCATAGAACAAAATGCCTCTTATTAAAGCAGCCTCAGGAACCTAGCCATTAGAGAAGTATTATGCCATGTTTTATAAATGAGTTGATTATTTTTTTTCCAAATTTCCTATGATTTTAGATTTTCTTTTATAGCCAAATTCTTACCCATCTATGGTAAATGGAATGTGTAGACAATAAAAGTGGCAGATAGAGAAACAGTTTTATTTCAGCCATTCTTAATAGTTCTTTATAAGTTTTTCGTAAGCACCAATGACCGCAAAATCAGTATTGGCATTCTACATTTTCTTTCTGCTTTTCTAAGTTTGTTGATTTAGGCAGTAAAATATAGGATAGGTAGAAGGAGATGAAAGAGAAATAATGCTTCTGGAAAATTTACAGACTAAATCATTAAATGACTGATTGGTAGTTGACTGAGTGGAATCAGTCATGACTAATACCTCTTACGGGGTTTAAAGTCCCTAGCACCTAGTATTCTGTGTATTTGGCGTGAGAGTTCATGGTCGTCCCATTGGGTAGTGAGTTCAGTGGTTTAAGAAAAGCCACATTCTTAGCAGTGGTCGTTCATAGCTATGCCATTTGCCTTCTTTGGATCTTTTATGTTTTCTGTCACTTCTTGAATGGCGAGCTCCCTGTGTTTATCATTCACTGTATAAAATATGCGTATCTGTTCTAACTTATGTCACTTTCAGAGACCATGCTCTTGGCTGAATACAGTTTTGGGATTTGGACTATAAGTCAACGTTCAGGTTTTTAAAATACTCAAAATTTTGATCCTATCCCCTTGTATTACTAAAGAATTCTTCATTTTTTTAATCTTTTTTTTTCCTGTGTTTTGCATGAAAGACCAGAAGGCTTCATTCTTACCTTTAATTTTTATTCTTAGCTAACATTTGCGTAGCGCCTGTTAATATGTAAAAATAACCAAGCACTTCACATATAGTGACTCTTTTCATCTTACGAGCTCTCTGAGGAAGGAACTGTTATTATCTCCACTCTCCGTTTTACAAAACTGATTCATAGAGCGTTTAGTAACTTGCCAACTCAAGCCTACACTCTCTGGCTCTGCAGTCCATGTTGCTTAAAATTATACACTTATGTCTGTTAAATGTGGGAGAAGCCCAATTCAGCATCAGTACTATATAAAGCAGCATGAATCTTATTTTCTTTAGCTATTTTGATATAGGTTGTCTTGGGCTGATTATTTATCTTGTGACTATTTTATAGTCCTGTTAGCTTTCTTGAGATTTTAAAAAGTTACAACTGCACACATTAATTCAGATTTAGAAATCATATCTTTGTAAGAATGGTTTAATTTCATACCCCTCTTAAATTTATTCCTGTATGTAAAGCCTAGCACATTTAACTGTCATGCAGTAGCTAGTCAGTGATTATTAGTCATTTCTTCTTTTCTTAACAATGGGTATAGCAGGTCACGGGTGTAACACAGTTCTCTATTTTGTTTTTAATAAAACTTCTTATTATAGAATAGTTTTAAATTTACAGGAACTATAATATAACATAGTACAAAAATATAGTACAAAAAGTTCCCATGTACCTTTCACACAGTTTTTCTTAATGAGAATGTCTTATATTTATGTGGTATCTTTGTCACCACTAAAGAGCCAGCACTGAGATATCATCGAAATTCCAAACTGTTTTTGGATTTTATTAGTTTTCCCTAATGTTCTTTTTTCTGTTCTAGAATCTCATCTGGGATACCACTTACAGGCCTTTATTTTGTGCAGAAAGTTTTGAATAACCCTAAATGTATTGCATTGTACTTGTCTGCATTAAGCTGTGCATATTAACCCTTCTTAAAATTGAATCATTAATCCAGAATGCCATGTGAATTTCTAAAGGACCGATTTTAAAACTGACATAAAGACATATGAAGTGGTCTACTTTTTCCTCCCCAGTTGCTACCAGCTGAGACAGAGGTGTGAGTGTGGAACAGTGTGACTGCAGCCAGCGTCATGAACTGAAACTAATAAAAATCAGTGAGAGCAGATTAAGCTTCCATGATTCATGCCTTGTTTGCTGCCCTATGAAGTGTGTTTTCAACATTAGTGGTATAGGATGTGACCTTTTACCCACCTCGTCGACAGAGGAGAATGTTGATGTGCACCGTTACCAACGGTGCCTCTGATATATTTTATTCGTTATCATTGTCAGCTGCCCACGGGAAGAGAAGAGCATTTTCATAGGGTGTGTGGTTCATGGCGTGTTGGTATTGGACGAGAACTTGAAGATATTTACTTAAAATCCTTTCATTTATGCTTCTAGGAAAACCGAAGTAGCTTTTCTGTGTCCCTGATTCTGTGTGCTCTCTGATATCACAGCGACACTGGCAACCTTGGTGCTTCTTGCTCACGTGAGCGAGTGGTTGCCGGTTCCTAGTAGCATCAGGTCTCATTAATGGTACACTGCTGCGTAGCATTTAAACAGTTTGGGAAGTAATTTTCCTCTCACTAAATGACTATTTATTTCTCCGTAAAAAAAGAAAAAGAAGATTCTCCTTAAGGTTGTAATGTGTGTAAATAACTTGTCTTTATGAGATTTTACATATGACATTATTATGATTATTTTATAATGTGATAGTCTTTTTCTTCCTGTCAGGGTCAGATTTTCTATCACAGTACTTCTTGTTAGAAAGTAAAATATGAGTGGACTACCAACTAGAAGGAGTTTTGTTTAGTTCTCATCTCCTCAGAAAGGTTAAGTTTAAGTCTTTAGTTAAAGCCTGTTAATGAGTTTCTTTGTGAAATGTTTTTGTTTTAGTTACTTACACATTGGGCATGCGAAAGCTGCTCTTCTGAACCAGCACTACCAGGTTAACTTTAAAGGGAAACTGATCATGAGATTTGATGACACAAATCCTGAAAAAGAAAAGGAAGATTTTGAGAAGGTAATTAAAGGTGTAGTGATGACCCTTTGTCAGAAAAGTTCATTGAAATTAGAGGGTGACCCGATACCTTCATGGTACCAGAATACTAAATTACGTTTGTTCTCATAGCCGCTCCCCCCCCATCCCCGTATATTCTGTGTCTGAGACCTGAGCCGAGAAATGCTGAGCTGCCATCCCCCCAAAAAAACTTCAATTTATTTCTTTGTTGCTCAGTTATAGAGTTTACCTAAGTGCCACATTTTCCTCCAAGTACCGATTCCTTAAATGAATTGGCCACGAGAGGCAGATTTCCTTTTTGTCGTATCATTTTAAGTTTATGAATGAAACAGACACTAAGTAGGTTTGGAAGATGGGAAGGTTTCCTAGCCCTTTAAATCATCTTCATTCAGAAGCACTGCAATGTATCCGAAGAGAGGGCAAACGTTGTCAGTACGACCAATAAAAACTAGCTTTTCCAGAGTGAACGGAAAGCTCCACCATAAGATCAGCTTTCTCAGCTGAAAATTCGGAGACTAGTGTAATGAATTTTTTTTTTTTTCTTTTTCGAGCTAATGTCATGCAACTTCCACAGCCATTTTCAGGCTATGTAAGACTGATGGTGTATTATTACATTTGCCCAAATGCAGTATCAAGGATTGAAAATACACACGGAAATGCAACAGATAAACTGGTGGTTATTTTGGATTCTCATTGCAGGTGATCCTGGAAGATGTTGCGATGTTGCATATCAAGCCAGATCAGTTTACTTACACGTCAGATCACTTTGAGACGATAATGAAGTACGCAGAGAAGCTGATCCGGGAAGGGAAGGCATACGTGGACGACACTCCCGCCGAGCAGATGAAAGCTGAACGTGAGCAGAGGATAGAATCCAAACACAGGAGCAACTGTAAGGCACATTTAGTGTTTTATAGTTTAGTCGATGTTCTCGTATTCCGCATCTTGAGTAGAACGTGGCTTCTTTTCGAGGAAGGGTGCTGGTTTGAAACACATTTGGGAAAACGGTTCCTACGTTAGTTCAGCTCTTAGAAACCCTTTTTCTCTGTCATCTTCCCCTTGGCACCGTTTCGTTCACGTCGCAGCGGCACGTGACGTGTGTGCCTTCAGCGCTTCCCTCACCGTGCGCAGTCTTGCGTCTTCATCCATCCACGTGAATGATCCTTCTGCAGCAGTTTCGTATTTTTCTCACATACTTAGTTTTTCTGAAACGTTTGATGATAATGTTATTCGTACCTAGGTCTTCCTTTCAGCGTGTGGGTAAATGTGAATATCGTACATAAGCTTGTTATTTATCCTGTATCTCTGAAATATCACTTGACAAAAAACATCTTTCTTATTCATTACTTGTCCCCCGAGCTTCACAATCAGGCTGTTTTCATTCTGTAATTATGTTCCCAGAACTTCCGCACTGTTCAGACCTCTTCAGTGTGACATTTGGGAAGTATAGTAAATTCAGATTGTTGCAGAAGTATTATTTCTTTTAAGTTTCTCTCCATTTTTAGAGCTAGATAACAACTGGACTTACAGACCTAACTTGATTCTTTGAAAGCAGGTAAAGAGTCCATCATATCTTCAGTAGAATTTCTGCAGAGAATCACTGCTTTTTTTTTTTATCCATATGGGGCAGGTTTTCGATGTTCTGCCCCAGACAGGACTTTAGTCACTTGGGGTAGAGCTCTTTTTCCTGGGATTAAACTTGTATCGCTGTCTGTTTTCTGTCATCTGTCATTTTCTTGGCTCCCAGTGTCCTGCTGCCTTCGGGAATGACCGAAGGGACTTTCAGGGAGTCCCCAGGCTCAGGCTCTCAGCCCGAGCCGTGTTCTTCAGACGGGCACGGGCTGCAGCGCCGACGCCTGTGGGCCCCGCGGGCCGGGCCAGACCGGTCTGTCCCCTGAGCGTGAGGCGGCAAAGGAACAGGATGCTTCTGCTTCAAAGGCACAGTGTTAACTGGTCAAGCAGGGGCCGCCAGTGCTGGGAGAGAGGGAGGCATCGGATGAGAGAAAGCGTCCGGCCGCAGGCTTGCTGTCGCAGCCTACATCGCACGGCGTCGGCGGGATGCGCTGACTCGACTTCTAGGTCGGGTTTACGGAGTACACGTCCTGCGGGGTTTGTGAGACCTCTGTATAAAAAATAACGCATTTACTTTCGGCATCCGATATTGACACTGTGGCAGTACCTTGAAACTAGTGGAGTTTGCTTATCATATAAAACCAGAACACGAGAATTTATATCAAATTACGGGACTACTAAAATAATTTGAATGCAACCCGATTGGGAACATGCTAGATAAACTGCAATATAACTCTCGTTCTACAGCTGTCGAGAAGAACCTGCAAATGTGGGAGGAAATGAAAAAAGGGAGCCAGTTCGGTCAGTCCTGTTGTCTGCGAGCCAAGATCGACATGAGCAGTAACAACGGCTGCATGAGGGACCCCACCCTGTACCGCTGCAAAACGCAGCCCCACCCGAGGACCGGAAGTAAGCACAAGTAAGTGTCACCTCGCTTTATGCGACGCCACCTGCCATGCCTTACTCTCATGCTCTCTGTCCGCGGAGTAGCTGCGCAGTGGTCAGGGGGCCCAGTCTTCGCCCATGATCAGGTCCGCTGGCCTGGGGCCAAGCCTCTCCTGTCGCCTAAAGCCACGCTACATCGTGCGGTGATGTCCGTCTGTAAATGCTGGCAAGTCTGCCCGACGTTGCTTTTCAGAGGAAGCACTCTGTTCTTGAATGTAGTTAGTTACAAAAGTAATTCAGTTTACTTGAGCATGGGATTAATTAAGATACTGAAAAGCTAAATTTCCTTAAAATTATCATGTATATTGTTTATTGCTTCTTCCCATCACATACATTGGTCATTACAGAAATACGATTGTAGAATTTGCGGTGCCAATACTCAGTTGTTCATTAAATTGCAAATTTGCCTTTTCTGTTTGAATATTGAGTGGGTAACTGGTTCATTGTTCTCAAAGTCTGATGACATTTGAATATACTTTGATTATTATGAGTCATAAACATGTCAGTTTTTAAAAAATTCTTAAAGAATTATATTTCAAATTAGTATTGCTGTTTCTAATGCCTCATCTAAGACAGAAAGGGTAAGATGCTTCATGCTGCTTTTCAAAATGTTCCCGTTCTTTTCTAGTGTTTATCCCACCTACGATTTTGCCTGCCCCATCGTGGATAGCATCGAGGGTGTCACGCACGCCCTGAGGACCACAGAATACCATGACAGAGACGAGCAGTTTTACTGGATTATTGAAGCTTTAGGCATAAGAAAACCGTATATTTGGGAGTATAGTCGGCTAAATCTCAACAACACAGTGCTGTCGAAGAGAAAACTCACGTGGTTTGTCGACGAAGGACTGGTAGATGGATGGTACGTCACCGTCGCCTAGAATTAGAGGAAGGACACGTGCACTGCACACCGAGTGGTGGGAAGCGGGATGGGGAGGCCTGTGGGGTTCCCGTCCCTGTCCTCACTTCTTCCAGCACGCTGGGTCCCCCTTCCCCTTGGGGCGAGTGCTGCAGACACATACGCTGTGAAGCGGGGTGCTTGGGGTGGGACGCACGAGGACGCATCCTCTACCGGTCTCAGCATTTGATGGAGGAGCAGTTGCGAGTCTGGTCTTTCGAGACCTGGTCTCGTGGTCATATGTAGAATGGGGACCTGGACTGTTTGTGAAATAAAAAGCAAGTGACGTTTTAATGCGTGGGTTTGCCGTATCTGAGGATGTCACCTTGTATCATTCCCCAAGTATGTGTTTACTGTCCCCGGCAGTGTGTGTGTTTCACTGAGAGGTGCTGCTGGAGGCAGTTTTCCTCTGCCGTGAACTTGGGCTTTCTGCTATTGGGATCTATCCAATTACATCACCAGATCTTACTCCGTGTGGTTTTAAGCTGAATGTAATAGCGTTTATTAAAGTTTTCTGCACTCTCTGCAACCACACGTTAAAAAAATCTCCTTGGCGCTTAAAAATGTTCCTGTTTCCCAGGGACGACCCGAGGTTCCCTACGGTCCGTGGGGTCCTGAGAAGGGGGATGACAGTCGAAGGGCTGAAGCAGTTCATCGCTGCCCAGGTGCGTCCTGCTTTCTTGTCCAGCTCCTCTGCTTGAGTTTTCAAGCGTCTAATCCTGTTTCTTTAATCTTTATTATTCTCATTCTTTCTTTTCTGTTGTTAGTTCCTTATAATGCGAGGACAGAATTAAAAAAAAAAAAGACTATGTTTGGCACTGTTTATAATAGTGGAAAATTGAGAATGTCCTAAACTCCTAAGCTAGGGTGGGAGACTCTACCTGTTCAGGATAAACAGATTAGTTGGTGCGTGATAAATTGTATATTGCAGTGGAAATACACTTGCAAGTAATTCTTTTTTGTAACATGCATAGCTTGTTAAAGAAAACATTCTAAAGAATCCTTCTTGTCCTGTAAGTCATTGTGTTACTGTTTTTCTAGGGCTCCTCACGTTCGGTCGTGAACATGGAATGGGACAAAATTTGGGCATTTAACAAAAAGGTACGTGTTTCGACTCTCGTCCTCGTCTCTCATGCCTAATGCCCACATGTGGAATTCATCAGTGTGCTCACTGTAGAGAGAAGTTTGTGAAGAATATTGTCAGTTTGCAGACTTCAGGAAAATGGAATGTTTTCCTTTTTTAAACATAGAGCATTAAGCCTACTAATACCAAATAACTAACAGCGATTAAAACGGGCAAACCTGGAGTCATGGGGAACAATGACAGCGTTTTCCTTAAATCTTTGATGAACACTTTGCATTTCATTTTTCTGCTTTCAAGCTGCGAGCTCTCTGTAAGAAGGTATTACTTAACGCTTTTATTTGCTTACTTAGCACATAGCTTCTAGCATATTACATGTTATAAACTGAGCTGTTACACAGCTTCAAAGCACAATCACATTTATGTAAAAGACTTGCTTATACAAATCCATCACAAATTAAAATACACGTCCTCCCGTTTTCTTAGTGGCAAATGGAAGATTTGGCTAATTCCATCCTACTGTTCCCTTGTGTGCTGAGAGGACAGTTTTAAAGTGATATATTTCATTGAGCTGTATTGAAGGTTTATTAATTAAGATTCCTGTGTCTTATCGAATGTAGTTTTTTAACTGTTAAGTGAAAGTCAAATGAGGAATATTGCATATCGACATTGTTAATTACTAAATTGGAAGCAGACGCTTAGACACTATAATAAGGCAAATCATTCAAGTGCCACGTTTCAAATTACGGTTTCTGTGATTGTGTTCTGTGAATTCTTTTTTTTTTTTTGTATTGCTGCTTGATTGTGCTGATGCCTTGCCTCAAGAAATAGTTGCTTGTCGCATGTGTCTTGAATTTGTTTTATTTGGTCTGTTTGTGGTTAGTCAGTTTTTCAATACATAAAGGAATCAATTGGTTCTTTCTGTTGCTGCAGTTACTAATAATAAATACAAATGGAATTTACAGGCAAAGTTAATGTACTTTTTATTCATAATCCAAATTTTAAAAGTTGTAAGTTTTAACGAAGGTATACATGTATTCCTAGTTCAAATACGTGAAACACATTTCCCTGTAATCAGTTCCGTAGGGTCTGTTCGGTGACCAGCATGTCCCCCTCTCTTGTTCCATTTCCTTTTCCTAGATAAATCGCTTTCAGCTCTTCTAGATAAGTCTTTTGGAATTCGTTGCCTACATCTCTGAACGAGTTGTGAGTCGTTACTCGATGTTTCTGTTTTGGGCATCGTCAGTTGACCTCCATTCCTGGAAGATGATGACTTAGGTTTCTTACTTTCTTTCATAACTTGATTTTCTTGAGTTGACTGATTGTTTTTTTCCTCTTCATTTGTTTAGTTTTCTAATTTTGTCATAACTTTCCTACCAAAACGTTCACATGCCTCAGGTACTGGAGGCGTCTTCGCCAGAGCCTCTGCATTGCGCTGGTGTGAGCGAGGTCGGGGAGCCCAGCCGCCCTCCCAGGCCCACTTCCCCGGCACCCTGGAATTCCCTTCGCTTTCGTTCTGTGATGGGTCGTCTGGGTCTTGGCTCTCCCGTCTCTTTTTCTTACCTTTTCGCTTTGCTCTCCCGCATCCTCTGGCAGTTCCCCGAGAAGGGGAGCCTGTATGAAGAAGGTTCTTGAGACCGCGTATGCGACCTGCTTTTTCACTTTGAAATTCCATGATGGCGACCTGTTTCATCCATATCCGTTGTAGGAACATCTGGCTTCCTGTCTGGAAACTCATTCCTTCAATTCTGGGAAGTTTTCTTGAATTCTTTTGTTCTTTCTTTTTTTTTTTTTTTTTTAATCACCTATAGCACCCGTTGAATTCTTTTTCTTTGTTTTTTCCTCCATGTTTTCTTCTCTCTGGAACTCTTCTTGAGCAGATATCGGGCCTCCTCGACTGGTCCTCGAATGTTATTTGTCCTCTTATTTTCTATCTCGTCTTCACGTTCTTCATTTACGCTATCCTATTTCCCAGATCTCTGTTTTGTTCTCTGAATTTTCAGAATAACTTCCTGTTCCTGTTCCATGGTTGTAATATTTATTAATAGTATTTTTTCTCTTGTACTATCTCTTTCCTCCAGGTCATTTTGTTTTTTTCCTTTGACGTTAGGGGCTTTTTCCAGAAAGTTATCTGCTCGTGTGTCACGTGAGGGACTGAAGGAGTGATTGACAGCCCTAAGGAAGAATTGGGCTTGTTAGCTGAGCCTCGGTGTGGCGTGCTCTGGCCGGGAGACGTGCATCAGTGTCAGCGACCCCCCATCTCATGTTAGATTACATTTTCCCAGGGGAGTCGCCTGCAGTTACTGCATGCAGTGCCGAGGCCTGGCTGCTGGGGCCTCAGAGCCAAGTTGGGGACCGTTGCACCTGGCATCAGACACTCACTCGACGCCCTGTCTCACCTCGGCTGCTCCGGGGTCCGCCACGACCCCGACACACTCCCCCTTTACACAGATCAGCTTCCATTCTCACGTCGAGTCGGGGAGGGCAGTTCCTGGCTGCTTCCCAACAACTTTCAGCTCCCAGAGTCCTGCTCTCTCTCTCTTCCTCTCCTACCGCTCCTTCTCGACGTGCCTTTAACGAAAACGAATCCTTCGCATCTTCGTCATGGGGGTGTGGAAGGGACTGGAAGTAGATGAGCATTTTTCAGGCTGCTTTGTCTATGCCTAAGTCTGTGGGATCGTTAATCATTAAGAACCATCCTAAGAACGTAGCACGGTTTAGAGTTTGGGTCGGTAGTGAAAGTGAGTCAGCCCGCTCGGGTACCTTCTTGTTTCCGTCGGCCTTTGTGGCATCTTGTTGTACTTCACTTCATTCCCTCGGACCCTTGCGGTACACATCTCTCACTGAGGCCTCATGTCACTTTTAACCTCTAACTATTGTTCTCTTGTTTTGTAGCCTGTTCTGTCTTTCTTTCCAGGCTCTGCAGGTAAACGTAAGTGAAGCGTCAGTGAACTCAGTGTAATGCCATGGCGTCGTGAGGGCAGCACCAAGGGCAGAGCCAAATCGCCATCCTTATGACGCTCTCCCTCAGTCACGCAACATTGGTTTAAAGCATCTTCTGCCAAAGGACAAGGGGGCTCATTCCAGATTGGCGGGAGCCCTCTGTGTGTTCCTTTGGAGAAAGAGCTTAACTCTCATCTCGACCCCCTTGCATCTGCCCCCAGCTAGTAGCCAAAGTATGTAGAGACTTCTCTCTCCGCTCCCCCAAATAAGAGAAGTCTTCCCTTCAAAAGAAAAAATCTTGAGTAACCCCGGTGCACAAAAGTGTATGTGTTCTAGTTTGAGTGTGATGGAGACCAAGAGCCCTGTTCTTTTCAGTCACACACCTGTCCTTGTTCCTCTGCTTGGTGTCTGTCCCCAGCTCCTTATAATTCTTGAGACTCTCTGGAGTACTTTGAAAACCACTGGTCCAGAGGTTCTTAGAAGTGTACAATTTAGAGCTGAAAAAGACTTAACTCTTTTAATCCCAGGTTTCACAGACTTATCTGACCCTCACCGTCCTGTAGAATGCTTGTTAAAAACAGATTTCCGCACTTCAGACCACGTGAATCCTAACCCTGTAGGGTTAAGTGGCCCGGAAGTCGTGCTGGCCAGTGCCGAAGCAAGTCCTGTCATTCGTCAATGCGAAGAACAGTCTTCTGCTCCTTTTGTCAGTTGAGAAAACTGAAGGGAGTATCTCAGGCCGAGTTGTCTAGTTCCAGCTTCTTTAAAGCTCCTGTATCTTACCGGCATAAATACTGAACCGAGTGGTCACAGATTAAATCTTTGCTCATTCTAGTCCAGGAGAAGCTGAAAGAAAGAACACTTAACCAATAAGAATGACCTTTAAGCCTCAAGGAAGGAAAGAATGAACGAGTAAACTTGGAGAGGCTGGTCCTGATTTAGTGTCGGCGTGAAGTATAAGCCGCTGAGATACAGCAGACCAGGGCGACTAAAGTAGCTTCTAGTGCTTTTGTGAATGACCCTCTGAGGCAGGTTTTCTTCTCCAAGTTCATTCACAGTTTCCACAATATCATTCTTTTCAGAAGCTAAAAAATACTCTGAAAGCAAACCAGAAATCCAGTACAAAACCAGACACACACAGTGCAGTTTAATTAACCACACCACTGCTTCCTGTCTCCTAATGGGAAGAAACTAACTCCTTCCCTGAGCTATTTGACTGTACGTTCGCTTCTGCCTACATTCTTCCATGTGCTTTATTTATGTCTGAACACTGCTGTTGTGCTTGGTCATCTTGGATAATTTGAAATTGAGCAGCGAAGTGAGACGCATCAGATCCAGGTGACGCTGCTGCTATTTTGGAGGTAGAGTAGGTTAGCGCAGGGTGACCACTCATACAGTTAATCTGCAGATTCTGATGGATTACCTGTGTGTGCCAGGCCCTCGGTAGTACTGAGAATGCAGTAGGCCCTGTTTATAGCATGCAGACGAGTAGAAGTATTTCATTTATGCCTTTAACCTATAGAATTGCCTTATTATAGTGACCTAATGCTATTTTGCTTTTGATGGTGATGTATTACGTAACACTGATCATGAAAAATTATACTAAACATATATGTCTATATTTCTTTAATATGGACTTCTCGAACAATGCAATATTGAGTATCATGTTTTCCTATAGGATTAATATATAACCCCGCAAGGATACTTTTTCCTCACCTTCTAATACCACAGTTAAAAATTATTTTCAAAATATTTCTAATATAATGCTTTAACTAATTGGCTTCTTTTCACCTGTCAGTAGTTATTCTTGGAAAGGAACTCAGTCCTTCACGTAGTCTTCATTTATGATTGTTTTTCCCTTTTCTACTTGACTTTAAAATGTGGGAGAGTTACTAGATAAACCAAAAAATTAGTAAATGCAGTAACAAAAAAAGCCAGTTAGTTTTCCTGTGCTTTCATTTTATTTTACTTATGACATTTTAAAAGATGCCAGAACATTTTAACACGAGGATGCGTTCGTTGCAGGTCATCGACCCGGTGGCCCCACGGTACGTCGCATTGCTGAAGAAAGAGGCGGTCCTGGTGAACGTCCCCGGAGCACAGGAGGAGAAGAAAGAAGTGGCCAAACACCCAAAGGTCACCTTGCAGTTGTACCGCGTTGTCCTCTCTGTTAGAGAAGGGAAATGCGCTCGTGGTGGCCGTGGCGTGGCGTGGGCGTCCCTTAATAGTCAACATTACTTGTCAGAATTCGATGCTAATTGAAGCAAATGATTTCTTGCTGAAGAAGTTTGTTCTAGTAATAATCTGCAGCACATCACATAGAACTGTTACACTCAGTTGGTGCTTAGTGTGTAGTCAGAACTCATCTCTCCCTGGAGGTGTTTTGGAAGACGAGGTTGAAACAGAGGTAGATCCTTTCGCTGAAGCTCTGTGCGTTGTCTCTATATATTTTCATTACGTAGCAGGATTCTGTTCGCGGAGTCACTTATGTACCGACAGACTGATAACGCATATCCTTGCTTGTGACCGTTTCTAGACTAACTCACTGTGAGATGGTGTGCATCACGAAGCACCACAGTGGCCTGTTACTGCCTTACTTGATTGCCTTTCCGTGCATGACGTTAGCTATTTTTGATTTTAAAGACTTGAGTTATTTTAAGGGGAACCCTAATACGATTTGGGGAGTGTGTGCATGTGCCTGATTCATTTAGCTTCGCATTTGTCTTATCTGATTGCTCAGCCAGGTGACTAGTGGTATTTAATGCATGATACCACCCACTACAGTCAGCTTAAATGCGAAGTTTACCGAACGGTTTAAAATTTGAATGGTGAGGATAAAACTTTGTGAAGGTGCTTCTTTGTTAAAATGACTATGTGTTCAGATAGTGTAAGTGAAATTCCTGCTCTTTATTAAAAAAGAGTGAATGGGTTAGGAAACGTACTTTAAGTGACTCTCCCAATTACTTAGTTTGATCTGTGGCATTTTCATCTTCGTCGTTCCTGTCACAGAGTGTTCTGTGCTGAGCCCAGCATAGTGTAAGTTGTCACAGCATACTGATTTTTCTCACGTGCGTTGGTGCCTTCACTAAACAGTGATTAAACAAGCTATTTAACATTTACTTTAAAGGGTCTTAACACTTCCTTCATTCTCATTCTGCCCAAAAAGCCCCTGAAATTTAATAAGTTCAGTATTATTTTTATTCCCCAGATCTCTTTTTCTTTTTCATATAATACATACTGACAAGGCAGGAAGTTTATCTATACGTATAAAATTTTATCTTTAAAATTTGTTTTCTAAAATACAAAAGGTCCACAAGTCCCCGCTAAGGTGGCCTCTGTTGTCCTACAATGCTTTGCAGCCACTGGTCGGAAATGACTTTATTTCCTCCTTTGCTGCAAAAGCAGTGAGATTCTGAGGACAATAAAGCAGACTCTGATTGGAGGGACACTGAGCGACGAATGATCCTGTCATCGCTCTGGAAACAGTGATTTAGGTTGGAAGGGCAGCCTAAGGGGCAGCCCCCTCGTCCAGCTCCGTTAGCATTATCGGTCGATTGGCCAACCTGGTATCTCAGAGCTGGTATTCAAATGAACACAGATCGCTTTTGTTGATGAAACAATGAAATGGAAGCACGAATAAATTAGCACACTGGCATCAGTAAGTTGTTTCAACCAGCTTTCTCCTTTTTCACCCATCAGAACCCGGATGTGGGCTTGAAGCCCGTGTGGTACAGCCCCAGAGTTTTCATCGAAGGTGCCGATGCGGAGACGCTGTCGGAGGGCGAGATGGTGACATTCATAAACTGGGGCAACATCAGCATCACTAAGATACACAGGTAAGAACTGTCCGTTTGCAAATAGATTTGGAAGAGAAATGTATTTTGTATTGATTCACTTATTAAAAGTTACTGGTTTATATTTCTTCGTGTTGCTGACCAGTAAATCTGCCCAGGCATAGATAGAGCAAAGTCTGGACACCAATGTTTTTTCCATATATGTTCCAGTTTCCTAATAGGGTGTCAGGATAGCTTTTGTTTGTGATCATGAAAATTATTACATTTAGATGCAATCTAAATGTCGTTGTACATTTGCCTGGCAGAGGGATTCTTTGGACAGAATTATATATATATAACATTATCATATGTAACATCCTACAATCCGCTTTAAAATTGATCTTTAATGACGAATATGAACTTTCCAGTTAGACAGTGTGCTACACTTATCAATTTGATTTTAAGGGTACGTAAATGGAACATAGTATGCTAAGATTAATTTACGTAAACTCCTACATCTTAATTGTGTAGCTCTTGCGTATGATTTCAGGTGATTGTTAAATATTTTTAAATATAGTATTTTAGTTTTTTAAATGCTTGCTACAGCTGACTTTAAAATTTGTAAACGTGCTCATGTTCTTTATCAGATGTACATGGACCTGTTTTCCAGTGGATTATTAGTGTCGTTATAGCAAGGATTATATTTTGAACCAACCAGTATATGTCTGGCACATATTAAAAGCTCAAATAAATACTTGATTTGAAACTTTTGCAAAGAAAATTCCTTCTCCATTTACTACAGATACAGAACAAAATAATGCATTTTCCTGGCAGTTACAGTTTATTTTCTCTGAACACTTTTTAATCTTATATCTAGAAATGCAGAAGGAAAAATTGTGTCTCTTGATGCAAAGTTGAATTTGGAGAACAGAGACTACAAGAAGACCACGAAGATCACTTGGCTGGCGGACACGGCGCGCGCTCCTCCCGTCCCAGCGGTCTGCGTCACGTACGAGCACTTGATCACAAAGCCGGTGCTGGGGAGGGACGAGGACTTCAAGCAGTTCGTCAACAGGGACAGTAAGGTGACCAGACCTCCTCTTTTGGTCCTTTAGCATTTTTAACATTAGTTTTAAGTAGTTGATTCCTCAAATAGTATGGGAAAAATTGGTAGAATTTTATTAATATAAAAAAAGATGTGAAAAGAGTTACAGATGGTAGGAAGGGAGGCAGCGCGACTCGCCTGAGGACGCACCGCAGGCGGCGGGGGACGAGGACTTCAAGCAGTTCGTCAACAGGGACAGTAAGGTGACCAGACCTCCTCTTTTGGTCCTTTAGCATTTTTAACATTAGTTTTAAGTAGTTGATTCCTCAAATAGTATGGGAAAAATTGGTAGAATTTTATTAATATAAAAAAAGATGTGAAAAGAGTTGCAGATGGTAGGAAGGGAGGCAGCGTGACTCGCCTGAGGACGCTCCGCAGGCGGCGGAGCTGGGTTTGGAGCTGGGCGTCCCAGCTCTGGGGCACTCAGCGCCTCGCCGGCGTGCCTTCCCCGGAGTGGCCGCGCGCTGTGCAGTTCATGCTTCGGTCGGGGAACTCGCTCACATCTGCGGGGACACCAGTTGGCTTAGTTTAGTTTTCCCGAAGCCAGTCAGTTTATAAACGTTAAGTTTAAAAATTATAATAAATGTAATATTTTTGTTAACACTTCACTGTTTCATTCCATGTACTTAAATACTAAATTTTTGAAACATATGTTTAAAATGGAAATATTCCAGCTACTGGAAAAACCGCTTGCATGTCAGAGTTGTTGGCGGTGCTCTGATTTTGAGAAAGTGTGTTTTCGTCTCCTGTCGTCCTTACAGCATGAAGAGCTGATGCTGGGAGATCCCTGCCTTAAGGATTTGAAAAAGGGAGACATTATACAGCTCCAGAGAAGAGGCTTCTTCATATGCGATCAACCGTATGAACCTGTCAGGTAAATAAGGGTAACTGAACATCTGAGTGAAAATGTTTTAAATCACGTTTAAAAAGTTGAACTTCTACTAAAGTACCGTACCTGATAATTCTTTATCCAGTTTGATTTGTTCCTCTGTATTTAATATTTCAGACTTTAATAGGTGATATTTTTGAAACAGCATAATATTAACAAATTCATTTCTAAAGTTAAAACCATCTTATAATTCGTCTTCATGTAGTCCAAATATAAAGAAAATGTTTCTCCAAAGCTTGTGAATTGTCTTGGGGCATTGGATTTTGCTAATTACTCTACCCTTTCGAATTGAGAAATTCTTATAAGATAAATGTTTTGCCTATAAGTAGGTTAGATGTGATGCATCGATGGATTTCCTTTAAGTCAACAGTGAAACCCTTAGCGTCCACTGATGCCATCTCTGGTGGCAGGCGGAGCAGATGTGCTTTTGTCCTGGGGTCAGCATGTTAATATATATGAAAGTCCACAGGTTGGAAGTTTAAAATTAGCACTGTCAATTTTTATTTGTTGTTTTTAAACTACTCCAAAAACTTGATTTGAATAATAAGAGATCGGACTAGTCGTTTATACTTTGAAAAGCATTAACACAGTGCCATCGCCTTAATCTGGGAATTCCGTCCGAGTTGCTGTTCAGATAATTTGGTTCGAATAAGCATTTTTGGCCGTGTGTTTTCGTTTAGCCCGTATAGTTGCAGAGAAGCCCCGTGTGTTTTAATCTACATCCCTGACGGTCATACAAAGGAAATGCCGACGTCTGGGTCAAAGGAAAAGACCAGAGTAGAGTCAGCGAAGACTGAGGTAAGCACTGGCCTCAGGCACGCCCCAGGCTGCCTGCCTGTTCCGCCACCGGGGCCTAGAGGCTCTGACTCGGCAGACGGCCGTCTCCTTGCTGAAAAAGACGCCAACTCCTACTCTGGGGGTTTCGTTTTCCTTTCATGTAAGAATTTTAAATACTTTGCAAAATAAGATTTTTAAAACTTCATCTTATTACATGAAAAGTAAGAAAGACTGGATTAAAAGAATGTTTTTAGAAAAGTTTTTTTTTTTTTCCTAATAGAGCTGCAGTAGATCCTTCCCTTTGCAACAGCCAGTCTGCTTTAGTCAGGAGGAGCCTTGTGGACAGCTGAGGGGAGTGTTGACGGCCGCCAGTTCTTACTAGTTTTATACATGAAAAGAGAAAAAGTAGCCTTGCCTAAGATCGCGGCAGTCTTTACTGACAGTCAGGACAGCGGCCTGGTTTTCTGGTTTCCTGTCTGTACCCTGTTATTAAATTCTAGTGCCTCTTGGTCAAGGGCTCCCGACACTGGGGTCTGGAAGAGGAGAAGGGCAGGAACGGCGTGTCGTGGGTGATAGGAAGCTATTTTCACTCGCTTTTTCTTCTTCATGTCGAGGCAGTGCGTAACCTCTGTCTTTAGCAATGAGTTAGGATTCTGCCCAGCAGTCACCGTCAGGTGGACATTCCAGGTTAGGACAGGACAGTCCAGGTTGGGACAGCTTCCTCCTCGCACAGGGTGTGGATTTGAGAGGTGGCGGCAGGTCCAGAGAAGCAGGGGGTTACTGCGAGGCCCAGCGACCTCGTCCTTCTGCAGTTCACGGCCCCTTCTGTCAGTAAGGGTTTCATGGCAGCCCTAGCTGAGCGAGATTCTTAACAGCTCTTTTTATTAAGTAGTTAAGTTTAAACAACTGGATAAATATTTATATCCCAATAACTTAGTAGCAATTCAAAAAAATTAGACATAAATTAAAAAAAAGGATTTCATTTTTAAAATATTTTGTTCTTAATGTTAAATGTTTTCATTTCATTTCTTAAAATGATGTACAAGTTGGAGGAAAGAAGTAATACTTTTATTTCTTCCTTTGACCTTGGACTCAGATTGGACAGTCCCATTTCCTGTCCCCCAGTTTTCCATGGTGTTCGGTTTTTAATACAGCAGCTGGGAAAAATTGAGCTTTGCAAAGACACGACATCACTGAAAGGAATATAGCACTTTCTCGTGTGAAAACTGAACCACCTTGAGCTTGTACAAGGAACACGAGATGTTTGACAAGTGTTGAGTACATTGCTCCATTTACCTAAAACATCTCGTGGCATCCGTGCGGGTTTCCTGTGGCGCCCTGGAGCACCCTGGCGCACGGTAGTCACTGAAGATTTGGCAGATGTAAAGGAGATGGTTTGGAGGGTGTGGCCGCAGGGTTCGGGGTGCTGTAGGTGGTCAGGAAGCCGGAGGATGAGGGCGTGGAGGCCACAACGTAGCACGTGAATCCAGGAAGTCACGTTGGTAAGACGGTACCTCGGCCTTGTTTTGGTTGACTAGGTAAAGAAACAGTGAATAACCGGGGCTAGGGAGGACAGAGGCACGTGAGTTTATTCGAAGATACGACACATTTGGAGCTGTTTACAGTGGCCATGTCACGACTTGAGCATTTAATTTCTACAGATTCAAAACTACATGGTCTTGGATTATAAAATTTTGCTTTAGCTTGAAACGTTATCGAACAATCAGTTCGACATAGTTTTGCGAGAAGACACTGCCCGTGAATTACCGCTTCGCTTTTGCTTTCCTGCCTGTGTAGACGCCGCCGCCTGCTAAGGGGAGGCCAGCGCCACCTGCGACTGGCTCCCGTGCTCCGTCCGAGGATCCCCTGGTCCTTTACACCAGAGTGGCTGCCCAGGGCGATGCGGTTCGTGATTTAAAAGCCCAGAAAGCGGCAAAGGAAGACATAGACGCGGCCGTGAAGCAGCTGCTGGCTTTGAAGGCCGAGTACAAGGAGAAAACGGGCCAGGAATACAAGCCCGGAGACGCTCCCGCGGCCACAGCACCGAGCGTCCCTCCCGCGTCCCCAGCAGCTGTCCCCGGGAGTCAGTCACTGTACGAGGAGGTCGCTGCACAAGGGGAGGTGGTTCGGAAACTGAAAGCCGAAAAGGCGCCCAAGGTCAGTGTGCCGGGACGGGTCAGGTCGGCCCCGGGAGGAAGCCCCGAGGGGACGCGTCCTCTCATGAGGCACCTGGTGTGTAGGCCGTCTGCTCGGTGACGTGGCCGAGCAGTCCGCGTTCACTGATGCCTGCTGCGTGCCGGGCTCTGGGAACGGCAAGCAGCTCACTGTCACGTGGGGGGAGAAACGCACATGCTGACGTAATCCTGTGTCGTGTCACCGCGATGTGTGTACACTGCTCTGAGAACCGTCTGTGGCTCTAAGTGGCAGGGAAGAGGGAAGAAATTCAGGAAGTCAAGCCCAGCGGGTCAGCTTAGCTCTATGTGTTCAGAGAGGTACTCTGCTTGTTTTTAGAATGTCTTATTCAATAATGAAGTGGTTTGCCCATCTTCATTTTCTCTTTTATAATATCTCAGGTTGTAATCTTGCCAAACAAGAGTTTGCGTTTTCTGTGCAAAATGTGTGCCGTCCGACTTTAAACTCCGGAGACTGCCTGCTTCCAGAGGCCTCTTCTTGTGGAAATGTTTGCGGAGGAGTCCCTTAACTCTTCGCCTTTCTCTTTCTTTCCGCCAGTTACAGTTTCTTTTCTTCTTGATTCTTGTACGTCTGAGGAACTATGTCCTTTATCTTAGGACCAGGCAGATTTTGCTCTGAAACGACTCTTAATTGTAAAGACAGCGTAAACACGAGGCGGGTCAGGAGTAGCAGTCTTCTCTGTGTGAGCCCTCTGGCCTGCTCCCACTCTGGGTGGCGCCAGCTGTGACACACTAAGTCAGTAGGCAGCAAAGCCTCACATCGTAAAGCAGCTGCACAGGAAAATGTGATTTGCCATCTCGTAGGTGCCAGTTCTTTGAAGGTGTCCCAGTGCTTCCTGCATGCCTTTGACACCTCCCCTTGCCCCCCATTATAGTTTCCCGGCTTCTGGGGCTTCTCTTGGTTCTTTGGAGCACTGCGATAACGTGGCAGCGAACCTTGGTTAGGGCGATTCGGAGGTACAAGGTGATCGACGCCCTGGCTTCCTGGTGACAGGTCGGTCTGCGGTCAGGTAGTGCTGCTGTTCGGGTACAGCGTCCAGCCTGCATCCTTTGCCCGCACTGCTGGCCTTCTTCACTAGAGTCACAAGTGTCTCAGTTGGGTTGTTTCATTCTTTTTCATTATTGTTATGTTGAAGTATCAGAGGATATTGTAAATTGGTGAACATCTAATTAAAACCTCAGCATTCCTTCTTTGTTCAATGGAAATTTACGAGAGAGTGAAGGCACTTCTTTCGTGGGGCCCAGACTGTGTTCTTCCAGTGCTGTGTCTGCGTCTTTCTGGAAGGCTGAAGAAGACAAGGTCGTACAGGCGAAGCCCGAGCTCGTTGTTGCTATGACAGTGTGGATTCTGCCTCCTGCCCGCAGACCCAGGGGCGTGGACCCCGGATTGGCTTGGACGCTCTGTTGTTTATTTGTCTGTCTGTACATGTAAGATGGAAGGTCACAGTATTAAATGTATACGTATGTTTATGTTTGTTTTTATAGCTCATATATAGGATTATGGTATGTACGGTGTGTAGTTTTAACTTTTTTTTAGCTTTCTTTTTTTTTATCTGTTATTTTGGGCTGATGATTTCATTCCTTTATGCTTGGCTTTCTCCATGATGGTTACTTAGGGGGACACTTCGGTCATACTGAACAGTTTTGAGTAATCATTGGAATTTTCAGAAATGGCAGAAAGTATTAAATATGTTTTTTTTTTTCTCTTTTACCTCAGGCTAAAGTAAATGAAGCCGTAGAGTGCTTGCTTTCTCTGAAAGCTCAGTATAAGGAAAAAACCGGACAGGACTACGTCCCTCATCAGCCCGCATTATCTCAGAGTTCAGATTCAAGTCCAGCCAGAAGCTCCGAGGCTTGTGGGCCAGAAACGGCCGAAGCCAAAGTGCTTTTTGACAAAGTAGCTTCTCAGGGAGAGGTCGTTCGAAAACTAAAAGCCGAAAAAGCCTCCAAGGTTAGTGTGGCCATTTGTCTGTGTTTTTATTTTTTACATGATAGACTATTTTTTTTTCCTGGAACACCTTCTCTATCAGATCTAGCAAACGTCTACTCATGTATTTTCGGTTCTGACCTCTTTTATCTTGCCTTTTAGAGAAGCCTTTGTCGATCCTTTCTTCCCCCAACTAGATTTGACTGCGCAGTCTCATGCGACACTGTCTTTCTCTAATATAATACTTAAACACTGTATTTCACTTGTTTGTTAAATTGCCTGTTTCTCTCTAGTCTGTTAGGTCCTTGGGTCTAGTCTGCTAGGATCTAGCCCCTCAGAGTGCCTGGCTCATCGTGGGCCCTTGATGCATAATCTCGGTTTGATTTATTCTCTTAAAGCTCTTTCAGTCTGAAATGGCAAGTTCTATTTTGAACCATGGTGTAGTTTGTGCTGAGTGTATTATCTTTATATGAATAGGACTTTCTGGTACCGATAGATTCACATGAGTGGAAACCACTAAGTCATTTCAGGTTTTAAAATTTAACCAGCAATACAGAAGCCTGACTGTTGTCATCTTTATAATTGTGAAATGTTCAGCTTATGTAATTTAATGGCTTGTAACATAAATAGCAGTCAAATACACGTACTAGTGCTTTCTACTGGAACTTTTTGCCGTGATGGAATGTTCTAGAACAGTTCTGTGCAGAACGGTCGTCGTTAGCCACCTGCAGCTACCGCGTGCTCGAAACGGGCTGCTGTGCCTGAGGAAATGAAATTTTAATTACCTTTAGATTGAATTTAAATAGCCAGACGTAGCTGGTGACTCCTGTCTGGACAGTGCAGTCACAGCACTGTTTTTCGGTCACTCCATTGCTCAGTCTGTCCTCGTGTAGCGTATTCTGTTCGTTTTCAGCAGTTCGTAAGTGTAGCGTCGTCCAGCGCTGCCCCGTGCCCCTGCGCCCTCCCTGCGGTGTTCAGATCTGCGTGCAAAGCTGTGGACGCAGGCGCTCAGGGGTTTGGATTAAACAGTATCTTTTTCTCTCCCTGTGGTGACCGCAGGATCAGGTAGGCCCAGCCGTGCAAGAGCTGCTTCAGCTGAAGGCGCAGTACAAGGCGCTGACGGGAGCAGAGTACAAGCCTGTCTCCGCCGCCGGCGCCGAGGACAAAGACAAGAGAAAGAAAGAAAAAGAAAACAAATCCGAAAAGCAGAATAAGCCTCAGAAACAAAGTGACGGCCAGAAGAAAGACGCCTCCAAACAGCCGGGGAGCGGGCTGGCGTCCGGCGGCGCCGGAGAAGGGCAGGGGCCCCGCAAGCAGACCAGGTGAGGGGGTGAGGGGGGCCGCAGCTGCGCGGGGGGCTCCACACCACGTCGGGGCGGCTAAGGTGCAGTGCCAGCAGGTACTTCTGTTACTCGTCTGTTTGTTTGCTCCCTTGCTTGGGGCAGGAACCGCAGAATATAACGGGGTCTGGGACACCTCCACCTCCGCTCATCTCCCCTTCCCTGTCCCTCGTCCCACCTTTTAACACGGTTGGTACCTAACTGCACACGTTGCTTTGTACCTTAGAAGCAGAGTTTTCAAACGAAAATCTTTTGTGTGGATTAAATGCAAATTTCATCCTCAGTGGGATTTTAAAATGGGTTTGGTTACATATACAACAAAGCTGGTTTAAAGACGAGACAGTGGAAAAGATGCTGTTTCAGTTTCTTCTGATCCATGTGATTCTGCTGCCTATAATCTCCACCCTCAGAGCAGAGGGAACTTTGCGCTAGGTTCCTTAATGGCCTCATGAGAAGGAAGAGCTGTTATTAGCAACTGCTATTTTGAGATACTTGATTTTAGATTTGTTTAGCTGAATTTTCAAATTCTACCTCTTATCTCTCATCATACACACAATGTCTCCTTAAACAAGAGAATACAGTTATTTTCCTCGCCTGTCGGCGGGTTGATCAGATTTGCAGAACAGTGGAACAGAGACCACAGCGTCTCACTTTTGACCTCCTGACGGCTTGTGAAAGGCCAAGTTCACATAGGCATTTGGCTGAGATGTGTCAGAGTGAAGCCACAGATAATTGAATTGTAAATACATCAGTAAAACCTTTTGTGCAGACTTTAAAAAAATATAACTCATCAGTAGGTTTTTGTAAAACATAACTCATAAGTAGGTTTTTCTAGGTCGGTCACAAGACCACAGTTCCCTGAATGATTGTTGGTATTTTAAGAAAAAGATTATTGTCCGGAATAGTTTTTTTTAAATTGCAGATCTAATCTATTTTGGAAGCATCTCACTCTGCAACTTTTACTTACTGCAGTTAAAAGAAAAATTTATAGCATACATTAAGATATACCTGCCTGTATATACACACTTAACATAGAGCCGTTGTTTTTATTACTTTTAACATGTTACTTTGAGTGAGACACTGATCTTACTAACTACAGTTTCGCCTGGATTGAGGTTGGCAAAAGATTCATGTTTTTTAGTGAAAAAATACCGTACGAATAGGCCCTGTAATTATTACAATTATATTACATTAAAAGACGTCTACACTAAACCACAGCTTTTGTTGGGCTTGGCTTTCCTAGTATTTTGTGGACAGTATCTCACCACCTTTTAAGAGATGCTCGAATTGTTTTTTAGGTTAAAACATCATCTTGGGAATGAATATAGAAGAGATACAACTAACTCATGACAGAACCAACTCATGTTGAAGAAAAGTTAATCTATTTTGAACATAAGAGGTTTATTTCCATTCAACCTAAAACTAATTGCTGAATGAAGGAATTGATATTTTATTTTCCATATCTGCAGGTTGGGTCTTGAGGCAAAAAAAGAAGAAAATCTTGCAGATTGGTATTCTCAAGTGAGTATTCATTCCGTTGATTTTTATGTTTTAAATTTCTCAAAGGCGACTTTATATGTAGATTCCAAAGTCCAGACACAAAGTAATAATGTGTAATGCCTTTACTAGTACATAATATAGTCATTTAACACGTCGCAGTTTTCAGAGCATGTTCACGTAAAGTCTTGAATCCAGAAGTAGCCCTACGAGAGAGCTGATTTTTTCTTCATCACTGTGCGGTAAAGGGATTAGTCCAAAGTCACGTAGATAGTAACTTCAGAAGCAAGATTGGAATTCAGGCCTTTTTAGGAGTTTAGGGCCCCGGTGTTTCTCAGTATAAAAAGGTCCATTTTACGCTCACATTAAGAGGGCGGACCACTGTGCACGCCTCCGGATTTGAAGCTCGGATGTTAAACTCTCGGCACTCGTGCTGTAATTTTGGTTCAGTTTAGGCTTTAAAGACTATTTTTCTTTTCAAAAGGTCATCACAAAGTCAGAAATGATCGAATACTACGATGTAAGTGGCTGCTACATTCTTCGGCCGTGGGCGTATTCCATCTGGGAATTCATCCGAGACTTTTTTGATGCCGAGATCAAGAAACTTGGTGTTGAAAACTGCTATTTCCCCATGTTTGTATCTCAAGGCGCGTTAGAAAAAGAGAAGACTCATGTTGCTGATTTTGCCCCTGAAGTAAGTGAGCGTCCTTTATTTAATTTTGCAGCTTTTTTTTCCATAAACTCAAAAGTGTATTTTCAGCTTACACTCGAATCGTAATTTAAAAGGCAAATTATAACAGCCAATTTAGAGAAATATAAAGCCATTTAAAAAAATGTATTTCTACCTTCAGGGCGACTTATGATCACGTGTGTTACGTTAAGTAATTAGCTGGTTTTTACTTTTCTCTAAGCATGAAGGACAGTAAGTATCTGTGTTTTATTCACAGTGCACAGCATTATTTGACTTGCCTTAATCGATACAGCAAAAATCGAATTAGCAGTTTACCAACACGTATGCTGTTTCTCTAAGTACCGTTAAAAAATGTGTTAACAATGATTTTGTCTTACTAGGTTGCCTGGGTTACAAGATCTGGCAAAACAGAGCTGGCAGAACCCATTGCCGTTCGCCCTACCAGTGAAACAGGTGAGGGTGGACGCCGAGCACAGAGCGAGCTCGCTGACACGTGAGAGACAGCTCTGGCGTAGTCCCAGCTTTTATTTGTGACGTTTATAACCCTTGTCGATGCTACATAAAGCTTCATGAGTGTCGATAAAGTTGTGTAGAATTTTATTCTCTGTACAATGTTCATTGCAGAGTTCTTTATCATTAGGACAAAGGTGTATTTTTAGAACACTTTAGTTATCTTTTATTTCATGCTAAAATTTTTCAGAATTTTCCAAGGAATTTAATTCTTGGAATAATGTTTTATGTCAAATTTACTTACAAATTTTGTTAGTCGTTTTAATGTTACGTTTACATTATGTAAGATTTCTCTAAGTTACTAAGTGATTTCATTTACATCTTGTATTCTTAAAACAGCGTCGTGAAGAAGGTAGAGCTATTCTTCTCTCTGTTTTGCAGGTAAAGGTCTCCGAAAGGTTAAGTGAAGGTTTCCTAAGTTACGCATAGTAACTGGGAGTGCCATTTGGAACTTTTGAGCCTGGGCTCATCGTTGACTTCCAAAGTTAATGAAGCATCGTTAGTGAAGGGTTATTTGCCTTTCGATACTTCTAGGGACACTTTTGAGTAATGCCACGTTGGTGCATTATTGAAATTATGGCACGGCTTATTTTCACACCCCAGATCGGCAGAGTTTTGTTTCTTTAATGGTAGATAATCATGCGTAGGCCGCGATAAAGCGTTCACGGAGAGTAGCAGCTCGTGGTAAGGGCTTTCGTCCCCCTGGCTGATACAGCAGAAGGGCAACTTGAATTCTCGTTCCGATGCATAACTGCTGGGTTCAGCAAGTTATTTAATGTCTCCAGGCTCAGTTCCCACATCTTTGATTACAGTTTCTACTTTGTGGGTTGAATGTGAGGGTTGAACAGGATAATGAACACAAAGAACTTAACATAGAATGTGGTAGATACTATACGATCTTCTGCTTCGTGTTTTTGAAAACAAAACAGCTGAAAAGCAATCAAATTAAATGTTAAACGTAAATCTCATTGTGAAGAACACAAACATGGTCAGGTTTTGATAGTTTTATTTCCTCGACGAATCTGCGTTTTGAAATACGTAATAATACCATTTACTGACCATTGAAACATTGCAAAGCATTCGTGCAAGCAAAGCATCCTGCTTCCTGTTAATCGCGTTGCCAGCTTAGCCCTTAGCAACCTCGGGGCGAGAGGACACCTTGACTGACTCGCTCCGCCTGTGTCTTCCTTTGTCTTTCAGTCATGTATCCTGCATATGCGAAGTGGGTGCAGTCACACAGGGACCTGCCCATCAGGCTCAATCAGTGGTGCAATGTGGTGGTGGGTACACACCCCTTCTCATCTTCTTTCGGTATTCTTCTTCATTTTTTTTTTTTTTTTTTACAAAAAGTACATCTTGTTTTTCCTTATTTGTATATTCAAAGAATTGGGAGTAAAGAAACATTTTTGAAGTACTCTGGATCACAGTCATGATTTCTGATCGTCACGTACAGTTGTTAGCGAAAGGCAGAAAGCTCCCTGTAATGACCAGCCTGTCTTCTCGCCTCTCCTAGCGCTGGGAGTTCAAGCACCCGCAGCCTTTCCTGCGGACTCGAGAGTTCCTGTGGCAGGAAGGGCACAGCGCCTTCGCCACCTTCGAAGAAGCAGCGGAGGAGGTATAAGGCGCCGTCTTCCTCGTTATGTTTCATATTAGGTTTAATTTCTTTGTCCTCGCTGTGCGTTTTTTTCTTTTTCCAGTTGTAAGTAATGCAGTACTATCTACCTGTTGTTAATCATTCAGTAAAAAACTGTAAATTGAAATTTGATGTGACCTCAAAGTAACATGAAAAGTTTCTTGGTATAAATTATTTTATTACTGAAATTTTACCTGTTAAAAGAAAAAATAAGTGGATTCAAATGAACATGGACTTCAGTTACTTACTGAAATTTTATTAGAAGATGTGCTGTTTTAAATTTTCAGATATTGCGAGCAGTGTAACAAGGAAGACTTTAACATAGAGGAGAAATTAAAGTCTCGTGGGTGAAAGTAATTATCCTTCGGGAGACTTTTCACCCTGGTTATTGTGTATCTCTCAAAAGCATCAATTTTCTCTTATATTCAGCATTTTCAAAGTTATTTAACTTCTGTTCACACCGCTTCGCTATACCGTTTTGATAAATTCACCTTGGCTGCTTTAACCTTTCCTTAGAGGTTTTTCCCAGCACAGTTAGTTTCAGACAGGACCGTTCTGTAGATCTGTCCTGGAGGAACATACCGTGAACTTGAACCCTTACATGCACGCGTTGCAGGTCCTGCAGATCCTTGACCTGTACGCTCAGGTGTACGAAGAGCTCCTGGCGATCCCCGTTGTGAAAGGAAGGAAGACCGAGAAGGAGAAGTTCGCTGGGGGCGACTACACCACCACGGTGGAGGCGTTCGTGTCCACCAGCGGACGAGCCATCCAGGTACCGGCCTGCCCTGCGGTCCATAGGAAACCACCAGAGACGCAGCCTCCTAGAAAGCCAATAGTTCAGGTGCTTCCTGGGCCACACTAACCTCCAGCACAGCCGTCCATGTTTCTGAGTGTCTGAGGCTGGTCGCAGGAGGCCTGGCACCCTGACTCACCAGGGACCCTTGCTGGCCCTCGCAGTCACCGCCGCTCGTGGAAGGGGCTCCTCGCAGCCGTCTGCTGTTGTAGTGGTGTTTGCCTACGCGTTTTTATATTAAACACATTCCGAAAGCCTAAGCCATATCTGTTTAGGCTTTCAGAATGTGTTTAACATAAAAAACCAGCAAAGATCAAAAAGCCTAGTGCCATTTTAAGGCGCATGATCTTATCATTGTTTTCAGAAGCATGATAGGTTATCGCGATTAAAGCTCATCTTTCTCTCTATTTTAGGGAGCCACATCACATCATTTAGGGCAGAATTTTTCCAAAATGTTTGAAATCATTTTTGAAGATCCAAGGACACCAGGAGAGAAGCAGTTTGCCTACCAGAACTCCTGGGGCCTGACCACGCGCACGATTGGTGTCATGACCATGGTCCATGGGGACAATGTGGGCTTAGTGTTACCGCCCCGCGTCGCCTGTGTTCAGGTGAGGGAGGCATTTGTCACGCCTTTTATAAAACAGGCCACATCTACTGAAGGAGATTTGAAAGGGTGACTTTCTGGGTATCCGTTAGGTAGATTTCGCTGATGCAGAGACAACACAGAATACAGTCCAGACCTTAGTATTGTGTAACTACAGATAGCGTTTCTGTTGTTTTTTACTCTCAACTCTTTTAGCTACTTTACATAAAACGTTTTTAGAAATCATTCTTTGAAATGATTTATAATAGGTTAGGTGAAATACGGTAGCTCAATTGGAAATGCGCTTTTTGGCATGGACTGGTAGTATGCAGCTAACTGCTAGACCTGTGCAGATGGGAAATCACACGGTCGATCTGTGTGGAGTCACAGTCACTAGTACGCTGTGACTCCTGGATGTTACCTGGTGGTCCGACTTCATTCATCGCTTCTGTACGTCATGTCTTCGTGTAAGCGTGTGATGTCATTATGCCGGGCTCTAGGTGGTGGTTATCCCTTGTGGCATTACGAACGTACTTTCCGAAGAAGACAGAGATGCTCTGATCGCCAAATGCAGTGACTATCAGAGGCGGCTGCGCAGCGTCAACATTCGGGTCAAAGTCGATTCGAGAGATAATTATTCTCCAGGTTGGAAATTCAATCACTGGGAGCTCAAGGTAAGTTCTTGAGTTGCATCTTTTACTCCCAGTTTGAGTCTGTATTTGCTTTGCTTGATACATACTTTTATGAAACGTAGGACTTTTTTATTATTTTTCTCTGTTTTGGTAGTTGTGAGTTCTTCGCTGAAACCGAGCGTTGAGCACAGATGCAGTTCAGTGCTTTGTAACAGTGATACCCAAGTGCATATATCTGCTCAACTTAAAATCTTTTTTGTGGAAGCTTTTTTTAATTATGTTAGAATAAAAATGATCCTGAAGACCTTGTTTATGATTAGTAAATCTCATGGTTATCACACTGAAATGTTTATACCAGGAATTCACGTAAGTTATTTAGAACAGACCACTCAAATCGTAGTGTGTGGGCGTCACTTAGTTTCCATGGTTACAGCTGACCAGCAGAGCATCACAGGTTAATTTCATACTTGGTTCTGCACACCATAGTGTTTCATACCAGCTTGTCGGTTTTTTTGTGCATTCAAGGCTAGTCTATCTAAACTCCGGCTTCATGCTTTTAATGCAATTTTCATTTATTGCACATTGTGATGAAGAGATGATCTGTATTCATAATTCCATTTTCAAACAACTGGGATTTAACTTTTTCTGGTTCTGAAGCAGGGAATCGTATTAGATGTAGCGGTTAGGAGTCAAGACGCCCCAAGCTCACGCTGCAGGAAAGGGACGAGAAGACAGAGTAAGATCACAGCTCCAAGGCTTCAAGCACGGAGGCACAGCAGTGCGGGGCTGTTCCGTGTTAGTGCCTGCGGGTTCCCAGCATCGCTAAGATTTGTTTGTTGTAAACGGCCCCTAAGGTAATCTGTGCTGAAGAAAAGTAGTTATGTTGATATATAGTACAATTAACTTTTCCTGCCTGAACCATTTGAAAATAAGATGCTAGCTGGATACCCCATCACTGTACAGACACATTCTCTCCATCACAATACAGCCAACAAAATCGGTGTTCACGTCACTACTGTGTAAACTCATCGGGGTTTTGCGAGTTGCCCCACCTGTGTCCTCAAAGCAGAAGCACCTAGTTCAGAATTATGTGATGCATGTGGTCAGATCTCTTTAGTCTCTTATCTCTTAATAGTTCCTCGGTTCTTTGAACATGATGATCTTGACACCGTGCACTTCTCATTAGCCGCTCAGTATTTTTATGGACCCGCGGTTTCTTACAGTATTCGCCAGACTGTAATCTATAGCTATCATTCTTTATTTCGATGTGACCAGCAGGATCCCTTAAGGCCGACTTTCGTGTTCTTGGGCACGGCGAGGCATCGCAGGGCTTGTCTTGTGCTTCGCCTGCTCCGGCCCTGGAGTTGGCCGAGTCTCTGGAAGCCCGCGTTCTTCCCAGCAGAGCGGCAGCTAGTGCCGGGTCTGCTCACCGCACCTGAGCCTTCGCTGCCCCGGCACGTCCTCAGTGGGCGGAGCTGTGGAGCATGAGTGTGCACAGGCACACACACCCCACATGCACTTATGTGTTTCCACATCTGGCTCTGAAACTCAGTAACCGCGAGTTCACATGAATACCTTTGATTCCAGTCAAAACCCGCATTTTGACACCCTTCCTTGGCAGTGAGAAGCCTCGTTCCGGTTTCCCTTCCCATGTTTACTGTTTTGACAGTCTAGACAGCTCTCCCCGCGTTTCTCTATCAGGCCCTTTCTTTGTTGGAACCACTGGGGCAGTGCATTTTTTCATAGGTTTGTGTCTTCTTATCGGAATAGGTTTCTGTAATATTTCAGGAGTATTAATGTGCCTTTTTACTGTTTTTGGGTTTTTTTTATGACTTACAGTTGATAAGGCTGTGCAGTAAGTCTGTATATTCAGTTGGAGACACACGTGACCATCTTAACTGCCTTTTTTTGTTTCCTAGGGAGTTCCGATTAGACTTGAAGTTGGGCCACGTGATATGAAGAGCTGTCAGTTTGTAGCCGTCAGACGAGATACTGGAGAAAAGCTGACAATTGCTGAAAACGAGGCCGAGACTAAACTTCAGGCCATTTTGGAAGACATCCACGTTAACCTTTTCACGAGGTTAGTCTCTTAGAATAACCTGTGTTGTCTACGGCCATGCTACGCTGAACCAACCCGATCCTGTCTGATCTCGGAGGCTAAGCAGGGTCAGACCTGGTTAGTACTGGGATGGGAGACTACCTAGGAAGACTAGGTGCTGTAAGTTTAAAAATAATAATAATAATAATAAGGGATTGTAAGTGACAAGGTCCTTGTAATCTGTGAGGTCAAAGGTTGCCGTGCCTAAAAAAAACATATGTATATATCTGGATATTTATATCTATATCGATATAGTATCTATATAGCCTACATCACCCATCGTCAAACTTTACTGGACCTGTGAGATCCATACCGAAGAGTTCTTTGCCCCAACCGGAAGTAATCTTTCTGTAAACTCCCATGGTTCTTAATTTGCCAAGTGCTTTCTGCTCCCTACTGGGTTTGCATTTGTCCCGTAGACTTAGATCCAGGCTGTTATGACATATAAATTTGAGGAATTAAGGTATTGATTCTCATGGGTTGATTCTCACATTAGCAGCACCTGGGGAGCTTAAAAAAAGGCAGATGCCCAGGCCCCTCCCCAGAGATATTGGTATAGTTGGTGTAGAGTGGGCCTGGCAACTACACTCTTAAAAGCTCACATGATTATGACATGTGGCCAAGGCTAAGGCCCTCCCGTCGGGGTTGGCGCGAGGGGCCAGGGGCGGGCTCAGGGCTGCCCCGACATATGGAGAGGGGTCTTTTAGAGTCACGGGTCTCGAGGCAGAGGCACTAGAAGATTGGTGGGGTGCGTGTCGCACCTCGTTTTCATTCCTGCCCCGCTGAAGCGGAGAGGGAGGCCCGCTGCCACTGCACATAGAGGCGGGAGTGGCTGAGGGGCGCGCATGCCTCTTGTTCATTCATTTATTTTCTGATACCTGGCGCCTAACTTACATTAGGCTTCAGTAAATCTTGCGTTTAAGGAGTGGACTTACTTTAGCCTTGGCACTGACCTATGTGTTTTTAGGCAAGTGATTTTGCATTTCTTGGCTTGTTAGCCTTAAAATGGGAATATTTGATAGTCTCGTGAGGGGTTACTTCAAGGATGTATTTGGCTTGCAAATAATGCATTTGAAGTTCATCTAAACTCAGAACAGGTAGTGTTTTCAGAGATGAAAGATGACAGGTTGCTGCCCCAACAGTGCATTTAGTGCACGGTTTCGTCTCCAGGGGTTCTCCGGAGTCACCTGGGGCTTTGGGGACAGAAGCACACCTGAGCCGCACACCTGGAGATTCTGACTGATTACTTCTGAGCTAGGTTCCGGCGTCTGTAGTGTTGAAACACTGTCCGTCTGCTCCAGATGCTCACCCCTGGTTGGGAATCCACTGCGTTAGTGGCGAAAAGCAGTTTTTTGTTGACATTTTTATTCAGTAAATTTGCTAATAGAAGTTACATAAAGGTGCATCCCCTCCCCCGCCAAGACTTAAGCTTGGGAAGTGGCATATTTTTTTCCCTAAATCTCATTGGCTATAAATGAGTCACTTGGGCCCATCTTGCTGCAAAAACGTCTGAAGGAGAAGCAGGTTTGGTGGACAGCTGGCAGCCGCTGGCACCAAGCGCACGTGGTCTTGGCCCGGGCAGCAGAAAAGAGAAAAAAAAAGTACGTTTTCTCTTCCTTGGTCCTCATGTGATGTGTGACTTTCAACGTGGAAGAGAATAATATTTATCCCTGTTACTAAAACCTGAGGTTCTTAACAGAAGAATTACATAGGATGTGAAAATAGCTTAATAATGTGCATTTATGTGTTTTTCCTTTTCAAAACATTTTCATACCCTGGTGTTTGATTCTCACAGCAACCTTGTATGGTATACCGTTAGACTTATTTGAGTATTTTTCCAGTTTTGTAGAAGCAGAAAATTAAGACCTTAGAGATTTAAAAAATAGCCCAGATTCTCATAGGTAGTAAGTGGCATAATAGAATGTTGGCCAATAGAGATTTAACACCAGTAACAAAAATAAATATTACTTGTTCAATTTGAGTTCTCACTTCCAGGTTGTTGTTCTTTCATTAAATTAGACTAATTTTTTTTTTTTTTTTAAAGAGCTTTGTTAACAGTAATAAAAAGATTATGTATTCTTCTCATTATTTTTTGATAGGGCTTCTGAAGACCTTAAGACTCATATGGTTGTGGCTAATTCAATGGAAGACTTTCAGAAGGTGCTAGAGTCTGGAAAGGTAAGAGACTTCTGAAGTTTTGAATATAAAAATATTTCAGAAATGGTATTTTACGACTCACGGAACTTAAGTGTGATATTAATGTCTTCTTCAAGTCCAGTCACACAGAACTACTTCGTGTTACTCAGCATTACACGCTCTTTTCCACTGGCTTTCCTGAAGCATTTCAGCGTTATATCATTTTTGGATAATACTGTGAACTCATCGCGTGCCAGCATTTTCTCATGCTTGACATGCTGGCTAAACAGCATGCGTTCTCTGTGACCCCTCGTGTTTTCATTATTGAAAATCTTCATTTTGTTTTTTCAGCTTGTTGTAAGTTCCTAAAGCAAACCTCATTCCGGCTTTAGAAGTGTAATGTGCAGATGCTTGAAACAAGGTTAAAAGTCCGTTTCTTTCAACTCTGACTATATATTTACCCAGATATTAGCCGATCGAACTTTCTGAGTAATAAGAAGAAAGTAATGCTCATTTCTGAGCCTGTTTTTCAGAATGAGTGGGTACTTCTGGCTCCTCAAACTACATAATTTTTCTAATTAGTTTGAAGCTTTTTAAGATTTTATCAGCTTTTATGTTGTGTGCATGCAGATGTTCCTGCCCAAAACTTTTCATAAAGAAGAGGTCCTGCTTTGCAAAGTTATTAATTACTGGAATGAATCACACTTACAGATTTTAGAATTCTGTTACATACGCTTGATTAGACAGCCATGCCTTTGTACCCACGTTATAAACGAGAGAACCACTGGCCACAGTCGAAACGAATTACTCTGGCTCTACAGAAGCGCACCTGGCACTGGGTTTTTAGATCCTCCTCTGACTCAGTTTGATGCACTTTCCCCTGTATCTTTTTTTTTTAACATGCTGAGAATATTTTGCATCGGCAAAGTTTGCATCGGTTATGGTCGTAACCTCTTAATGTGTCTCTTATTGCATGAGCTGGAGAAATGTTAATTTGTCTGGCCGTCAGTTTACTAGTCGATAAAATGAGCACAAAATTTATAATCTCAAAATGCCCTTCAGATTCACAGCACTTCAGTATTTAGCCCTCTGTCATTCCTCTTACTCTACTGCCTTTGTAAACTTCCCCTTTCCGGTTTCCATAATTTGTCATCTGACTCAAACTACATACTTGTAAGAGAAGGCTAGAGAACGGATAGCCATCTGATGCAAGGTGTATTTTCACTTCCACTATAATTTATTTATGATTGTTTTATTTTTGTTCCATTAATGATTGAATTTTGCAGTCTCCCGTATTATAGAAACATGGTAGTCACTTTTGCAGTACAGCCTATTAAGGCATTGCATAAGAGCTAATAAATCAATAGAATAAATATGAGTTAATATGTTGCTTCCAAAGAAATGAATCTCAGCAGATAGTAGTGGAATCATATCTTTTATCATAATATCAAATAAGCTACTTGGGAGAGTTCAGCATCTGTTCCAAAGCAGAATATAGTATTTTACTCGTATGGCCAACACAGAGACCAAAACATACTGCTTCTTGTATTCAGCACTGTTCCATCCCCATCTCACCTTATGCTGGTCAGCTGAGATGTGGCCACTGACCATCAAGCAGCCTTTGAGGCCGTTGTAAATAAAACTATTCACTGGAAGGGGAAGAGGTAGGAGGGTCTTTGGAGCTTGAATGTAGGTGAAAGTTTGATTTTGTACTGTTCTCTGTTGGTACAAATGAAAAAGATATTTTTCTATGACTTACAAGACTTGATTTTAGTAAATTTTTCCAAGGGGATGGTCTCGATTAAATGAAAAATAAATGTTATTTATAATATATATTTTTTAATGTTGATGTACGTTACTAATCTATCGATCACTGTGATTTTTGAGTGTTGCTATTTTGTGTCATTGACATTTTTGGCTACAGAATGCAAGATATTATATATTGCAATAGATTTTATCTTTTTAAAACATAGATATTGAAATTATAAAAAATAAAAAGTTAAGAACTTTGCCATGACTAGATAAGTAGCCTAAAAATGTCTACTGTCTTTTTATATTTGAATTATGTGCATAAATAGAAATTTAAGGTTTTATCATCTAAACTTTGAAGCTAGAAAGAATTAAAACATGGGTTTTTTTTGCAAAATTATCATTTTTGAATTCAAGTATAATTAATAACTTTACTTGAATTTTTTCATATGCTGTGCTATTTTACATTTTTAAATTATTAGAAATATCTTCTCAAGGCTTAGTAATTTTTTCTTAGAGAAAAAGAACTATTTACTGTAAAATTTGTTAAAGTTATAAAAATATAGCTGTGTGAGTTAGTCAAAGATTTTCTAAAAAACAATTTAAATTTCTTTGTAATTAAATTTTAATATTTTTATCATTGCATAAAGACAATGATTAAAGTTTTCTCCCCATTCTGTCTTTCATAATGAATTTTAGACAATACTTTTATGAATGTACTTCTTTTTCAAGCCTTTCGCTAATGCTAATGATTTACCAAGTTTCAAAATGGGAAAGTTAACTCGTTATTGAAGCTCTTAAATCTCTAGGTTCGTTTTTGCTTCACTTTTTTGCACAGTTCCTATATTAAAATTTTCAAAATACTCATTACTACCATCCTTCCACCCACTCATTTTTCCCCGCAGGATTTGCCTCCAAATTTATCAGCTCTTTTTTATCTTAGGAAAGGTTATCAAAATAACAGGCCGACATGTTTTGCTGAATAAATGTAAGAGACATAGATAACTAACTCTTCCTCGCCCTATGGTGACAGTCACCCAGCGGGTACTCAGTTTTTCTTAATCTCTGTCCATTTTCACATTATTATTTAAAAATGCCTTTTGAGACTTGTTTAACCAAGCCCCAAGTGCCAGAAGTGTTTGCAGGAGGGACTGAGCATGGGATGTGTGACTGGGGTAACTGATCAGAGGTCCATGGGGGAGCCGGGCACCTCTGGAGCTGCTTCTAAGCTAGCGTTTCTGATGAGTGGGGATTTTCCACACCTTCGATCTCTCCACTACCTACGCTGATCTCTAGTTTTTTATAGGACCGTTACATAAACGTTATTGCAGACGAATCTCATTTTGAAGTAGACATGCCATGAAAAATTTAGGATTCACAACCGAGAGAAATCTTAATTGTTGTCCAACATCCACATTTTACAAAGAAAAACTCAAGGCTAGAGGTTTTTTAAATAGGTGGTGAATTTCGAAATTAGTATAACATCCCAAGTGTCTTGATTCTGCCTGTTATTCTGTATGGTCTGTGAAAGGAACATTTGAGAGGTGCCGTTTTCCTTACACAAAATGATTTTTGACTTTCAAATACCCTTGGACTTTAAAAACGATTCGCTTAACCTTCAACACGTTCAACACAGTGCAGCACAAGGCAAGGTTCGCTGGATTGCTAACTGTTATTGTTGACGACACTTTAAAAGTCAGTTCTCTGTTCGTCACCTCCCTCTGTCCTCCTGATGACCGACCACTCAGGAGGCGCAGGCAGCGGTCGAGCCGTGAAGCGCGGGGCTCACTGCCGCCCCCTCCCGGGCCGCCTCGGCCGAGCCCCTCCGCTCCAGGCGCAGCGTCGTAGCCACTTCGTTAATGCGGATACTGAGCGTGTCGCACAGATGTCCGCGCTGTGTCCTCCTGTCCTGTGACGTGTGGGTTTGGGATAGCGGGTGAACTTTCCTTTCCGTCTCTCGCATTTCTGAGCAAAGTTCCAGTAGGTTTGCAAGGGCACCACGGCCTGGCGAGGGCTGGGGGACCTGCGCTGCGCGCCTGCACGTTCCGCAGAGAACTCGGGTGTCCCTCTCGTAGCCTGGGAGGAGTTCTAAATGCTCCGTGTTGTTCCTTTTCTCGTTAGATTGCTCAGATTCCGTTCTGTGGGGAAATCGACTGCGAAGACTGGATCAAGAAGACCACCGCCAGGTACAGCGCCTGACGGATGATGGGTGCGCGCGCGGCCGCGAGGCGGGCACGTGCCGCGAGCGAGCCGTCATTGTGATGTGTTTTCTTTTCAGGGATCAGGACCTCGAGCCTGGCGCCCCGTCCATGGGCGCCAAAAGCCTTTGCATCCCCTTCCAGCCCCTGTGCCAGCTGCCGCCCGGGGCCAGGTGCGTCTGCGGCAAGAACCCCGCCCAGTACTACACCCTGTTCGGCCGCAGCTACTGAAGGATGAAACCGCACTCCTGTCTCCAGCCCGCCAAACTTCGTCAGACTCGGACTGCTCTCTCCCCAGATGTAGACAGTTTTATGATTTTTCTAAAATAAACGTTCTAAAGGGGGGGGCCGTGAAACAAACACCTATCCTTATGCCTCGGTTAGCAGTGGGGAAAAGCTTTTCTGTAAACCAGCCCAGTAATAAATATCATGAACTCATGCTGCGTTACGTAGTCATTTGCTTCTGAAATACCTGAACTTTACAGCACGAGGAAATTCCTGCGAAGAGATGAAAATAACTGAAAATGACGTCTCTTCGTAGGAGTTTCCTGACGAGTAGAGCTGCTCAGGAGTCGGCTGCTTCGAGGGAATTCTATAGCAAGTACTTAGGTTAAGGAAGGGATCCTTCACCCAAAGCCTACGTGCCAGGAGTTAACTTTTAAGATTCAGCTAAAATAGCAAAACTTTCAAACATCTTCAGTGGCGGTGCTTTTCGGGAGGGCGCATAAACCCGAATGCAAACAATATCCTCCAGGAAATGATCACCATTTTACTTGCAGATGACAGCCATTAGCTAGGTACCTGACGGTCACAAAAGCGAAGGTGTGCCTAGTGTCCCCTGCAGCAAATAGGTCGAGGTGTGTTTGCTAGCACCAACAGCGACAACAGTTCAGGCGGCCTGCTGATGGGGAGCCTTTGAATTCTGAGCAGCACAGAACGTTCCATGAAACAAGCAAAGAGAAGGAATTTTGACTGGAGAGCCCGTCACCCTACTTCTGTCTGATCCCGGTTATTAATGCGAGTCATCTTTCTTACGCCTGGTGTTCAGGGCTTGCCAGTAGCATCAAAAACATACCTTTCACCCTTTGCTCGTCACTTACTATGCCATCGATATAAGAAGTCTGTGCGCTCTGTGCAGTGTCAGAGCAGACAGCAGCAAAACCAGACGTGGTTCTTCCTGGCTTCATCTCGAAGTAGTTCTATTTCAGATGCAAAGTCAGGTGATGAAGTGAGCAAGGAGATGGAGCAGCGAACGGGCTGAGCTCTGTTAGGGGGAGGCCACTGCCTGAGTCACCCTCACTGAGACATCAGAATGTCATTCCCACCAATAATAACGCGAAGAACTGTTCCTGTGCTTGAGGGGACACCTGGAAAGTTCTGTCGCACCATCAGGCTTAAGATAACAAACATAAACACATTTCTTGCAGGTGATGTTAAACCAGTGTATTTTCTCAACTTTACTGGAAAGTTTGAGTTTGGAACGTCAATAATACACGATGTGAAAAGATTTTACCAAGTCTCATGTAATAAGGATTTTTCAAAATACATTTGAGGTGTGTCGCCAAAACCGAATTTTGCAGTTAAGAAAGACGTTTCGAGTGAGTGAGTTTCTTACTTCCTTCAGGTAAATACTCAGTAAAGTCTTCAGTCACTGTATTTCAAATTACAACTCTACCCCTGTACCAACACCCTCTTCTGTCTCCATCACTCTCCAACGACATTTAATACATTTCCTGACTTATTTTGTTAATTACCTGTCTCCCCAAACCCCACTAGAATGTGAGTTTCATAAGGCAGTGGTGTTTGTCTCCCATTCACTACTGTCTCCCCAGAGCCTAGAATATGTCTGAGGGTCTGTCGGAACTCAGTAAATACTCGTTGCATGTTTGGACGAAAGACATAGTCTTGGTGCAATTTACTACACAATCTGTTTATATTAGAAGTCTTAACTGTTAGAATATTAACTGAATTGGAGGTCATTTATGAGATGCTAAGGAAATTATTAAGGCTACATCTAAGTCGTTAAGATTTAATCAAAGTCAGTGTATTAGGGTTCTCCAGATAAACCGAACCAACGGATGGACAGATAAATAGAGATTCAATATAAAGATTTGGCCCACATGATCGTGGAGGCTGAGAAGTCCCCAAGTCTGCAGTGTGACACAGCAAGCAGGAGCCCTAGGAAAGCCAATGGTATAGTGTCAGTCTGAAGGCCCACAGGCAGCCATGCCCGAGACCCAGGAAGACCTCACGCTTCAGGTGAGGCCTGAAGGCAGGAAAAAGCCAGGGTCCCAGCTGCAGGGCATCAGGAGCCAGGAGGGCCTGGTCCGGCCTTCAACTGATTGGATAAGGCCCACCCACAGGGGGAAGGCTGCCTGTTTTACTCAGTCTAGATTCAAATGTTAATCTCATCCAAAACGCCCTCAGAGAAATCCCTCAGAATGTTTGACCACATGTCTGGGTACCTGGTGTCCCAGCCAAACTGACACATAAAATTAAGCATCACAGTCAGACTACCTTCGGAGAAGAAAAGATCAGGTAGAGTCCATCCCAGGCTGTCTCCCTAGAGGACCGTCTGTGGACAGGCCGCTGAGAACAACAGAGGCCGCTATTGTTTTAGTTAATCAGGACATGGTAAACCATTAAGGGAGAAGAGTGACAGATAAGAGTTTTTGAAAATTTCCTCGTATCAGTTCAATCATAATGTGGCTTTCTTCCTGAAACCAGTGGGCGTCATGGCTTCAGCTCTTGCCATTTCAAAGGTGTGTTATCTTTCCCGAGCTTGAGGAATGTTTTCCTTGCCTCGTTTTCGAGAACTTTCGGGAGTAGTGTGCCTGTTTATTCCAGACCAGCGGGCAAGGCAGTAAGTCACCCTCGCCTCACGTCTGGCATTCACTCACTGTAGCTCTGATCTAGAATATTCCCTGTTCCATGCAGTGAACAGCATTAAAACCCAAATAGGATATGATGATCTGTCACAGGACTTGTCTCGCCAGAGCAGCTAACTGCTCCCTCATCAGAGTGTGGAAACTGGGAAAGGCCGAAGCCACGGATGAGCCAGAAGTCACAGAGACTCTTGACTTCTGCGATTAAACACGCCAACAAACAAACAGAAGAAATCCCTCACGTCCGTATCTGAAGCCCGTACCCTCCACGTCCACAAGTCCCCACTCACGTGACTTCTCCTGTTTAATTGCCCTTTCAACTGCTTTATGGCTTTATAGCGGCCCATAAAAGGTGATTTCCAAATATGACAAGCGCTGAAAGGCTGAAGGGGAGAGTTTTCCAGGAGTCACAATCGCTAAATGTGTGGCTTCTCCTCCCAGGGCTCAGCCTTCCCAGAAAAGCAAGAGGAGCGCCGAAGAGCCCAGAGCCATGGGCCGATACTCGGGCAGGAGCTTCCGTCTCATTCATGAGCGTTTTTTTTAGCGTCGTGAGCATCCTCCTCTTCGTGATGGAGCTTGTGATCGCCTACTTAGGCAACTCGCTGTCCTTGGCCTCGGACGCCTTCGCTGTCCTTTCCCACCTGCTGTCCATGGTGATAGGCTTGTTCGGCCTGAGGGCCAGCAGTATCACCCAGCACAGGAAGAGCACTTTCGGCTTTCTTCGGGCAGATGTTGTGGGGGCTTTCGGCAACTCCATTTTTGCCGTGGCCTTGATGTTCAGCATCCTGATCGAGGCCATCAAAAGGTATATCGATCCCCAGAAGACACAGCAGCCGCTGCTGGTTCTCAGTGCTGGGATTATCGGGCTGTTCTTCAATATTCTCAACTATTTCATCCTGGACTGCTGCTACTGCACGGCACAGGGGCCCGGGGGAGACGTTGAGACAGGTAAGTGGCTCCTCAGGTGTTGCAGCCACCTGTCAGATGCCCGGAGGGTACGGTCTCAGGGGGCCTCTGATGGTGCCGTTGGAGGGAGCCCCCCGTTCGTTCGGTCGGCCTCTCATCCCTGTGACTTTACATAAGGTCTTTTCAAAAGAGTCTCCCGCAGTCCGAAGTTGCTTGTGAGCGGATTGGCAGCACGCCACTTTTGTTTGTCTTGTGGGGGGCGGGGGGTGTCTCCTTTAATTTCTACTCACAGGGAACGAAAAAGAGTTCAGACAGGGAGGAAAGGTGCTAACCGGAGCCGTACAGGGAGCGATTCGAAAGAAAGTGGACGATTTGAAAGAAGGTGGACGTGGCATTGAAAGCAGTTACTTTTACTTAGTTACTTTTGTTTCTCCTTTAATGAGTTACTTTTGTTTACCCAGACGTGGCCTGGCTCTGTTTGAATTTAGAAATAATATTTTAGTGTCCCCATAAAATATGTTCAAAAATACTGCACTGTATAACCAGTTCACGTCGAGGAAAGTATTGATCAGTTGGGTAGGCAGATAAACTCTGAGGAATATATTCAGGGATCGTTTAATAAAAGGAGAGAGAGGAAAAAAAGGAGATGACCTAGAGAACTTAGTTCTCTTTTGGATGGAAATTTTTGTATGGATTTATTGCATACATCTGTCCTATTTGAGAAAATGGAAAACTATTTACAGGTGATTCTTTAGCGGGGGACTTAGGAGTGGGTACTGAACTTAATGGATCATGTGTCAAAAGATGGAGTTTTAAATTCTTGGAAGAGAATGATAAATCTCTATCAATAAAACAATAAATCCACAAGATAAATTATTAGATGGAACTGTGTTCTTTTACTGCCACAAATGGAATTGTTTTTAAAAGCACATTAAAACCTTCTGGCAGAAGACTAACTTCCTGTGCTTTTTGCAGATGTCATATGGCATGAGCAGACCAGGTTCAAAATCATGGCTCCCCCACAGGGCAGTGGTCCACTTACTTCACTAGCCTGTGTGCCCACCTGTAATGTGCAGGTACTAAGGGCTAAAACAGATCTTAGGGTTTAGCCCTTAATAGGTACTTGGCAAAGAGTAATTTTTGTTTTTCTAAAAATCGCATCGTAAGCCTTTGAATTATGTGATAATCCTGCATCGTTGAATTCTAATGGCTCATTTAAAAAAAAAAAAAAATTTCAAGATTCTCCTAATTTGGTGGTGATCTCTGACTAGAAGGGGCGCTATATACCTGGCCTGGGAAGCCTCAGAGCTTACGTATGCATTTTTTTAATTGTATTCCTTTTGTCTTTACTGCTACTGTAAATGTTGTCAGCTGGGTCTGATCCTTTATCCTATCTCTGTCTAAATTTTCCTATTGGCGGAATGTACGTGATGAGAGCACCTATCATATGTGTTAAGTATATAAAAGGGAGCAAACAAGAAACTAGAATCTACATCTTTTTCTATTTAAGGAATCAATTAGGGCCTCATCTTTCTTAAAATACAAAAGGTAGCATGAGACCTTATGCCTTGTTTCCATCAGTCAACATGTAAAAATTACTTCTTGAGGTGCCACCTCGTAAAATGCATTCACATATCTGACATAAAACGAACGTATATTTTTATGGCTACATATAAATTTAACATGAGAAAACAGACATCAGATCCTTAGTAGCGACCAAGGAAGTCCCTCCATGACGAAACTTACCATGATGTTTTTAGTTCTTCTTTGGTGTCTACTCTCCACTCATACTTACTTGCATATAACAAAAGCCATTTAGGCAAAACTTTGACCGACATGAAAACTGGTAGACAGCCATGGTTCTGTTTCTATAAACCGAACGATTATTGGGTAGGTCTTTTTTGGGAAGCGGAGCTTTTCATTTTTTTTACACCCATGCCGAGATACCAAGAGGCTGATGACAAAGATGTCGCCCTGTCCATCCGAGTCTCCATCGTCTCAGAGCACCTCTCTTCGTTCGAAGGGTTTCTGCTATCTAGCATTCTGCTTTAAAGAACTAAGTACAGTCACAGGTACTATCCACGTATATCTAATGCTTTAGGATCCGTGTCCCTTGTAAATATTATCATTGTGGTAGCTTTAGGTGTTGCTGAATTTTCATATTCGAAATTTGACCGTGTTTAAATCCTCCAAGTAATTTTAGAATCGCTACTTAGCTTCTTAGCGTTTCTGTCTAGAGTTACGTATTTATCACTTTGGCTAAAGCAGACCTTTTGATATCCTTCCCATATCCTTCCCATCGCCTAAATAAGCTTAAATTAAAAAGTAAATATTTGGGTTAGATAGATCTCATAAACTCACATTAACTCAATTTCAAATGTGTCCTAATCTAACAAGAAATGTGATTCATCCAGACACACTGATTTATACTAGGAGGTTTAAAGTATGAGGGGGGAAAATGATTCTTGATGTCAAAAGAGTCTAGATTTAGGAGCAAGAATTTCTGCATGTCTAGCATCCCAGCTTGAAGCATTTTAAAGTGCCTATCAACGAAAGGCCTGTGGCACCTGCTGGTTTAGTGATCAAAATCAGGTAATCCATCCCTTCTGCAGAATCTGCAGCCAGAAAGAATTTACTTAGCGACCCTTCGGTTTCCCTTGGTTCTGTGGATCTTTTACTTACTCTGCTTCATCTGTCTGGTGTAGGAGTTGTTACCAGTTATAGTTTGAGATCATAGAAAAGTGAAAAGTAAGACCACAAACTTTAAGTTAAATATTAACAACACAGATTGTATATACAGTTTAAGGGTTTAAACATCCCTGGGACTCATGGAGTAAGACGCGTTGGAGAATCAGACAGACAAGCCAGAAATCTTTTTTAAAAACACCTGAGAGAAAAGAATGTCTGGAAGATTTGGCCGAGATGAGAGAGCCTGGCAGCCCTAGATGAATACTTAGCCGGTGTGAATCCAGCCCTGACATGAAAATGAGATGCTGGAGCAGGTATTTGGGGCTGAGGTGACAGGCAAAATGAAAAACGTAAAAATTACAAGCATGAAAGAAGAAGAAAAAAAAAAACGAGCGAAATGAGTTTAAAGTCCAAACTTTGGATATTTGGGAGTGTGTTTGGGGGAAGAGAGTCGTACCGTGTTTGGGGAAAGGGGGTGGGGGCGACAGCGCGTGGATTCAGATCCTAGGGAACACGTGGCCTCACGGTTCCCCTTTTCCAGACTGGGGGGCTAAATCTGCTTTGTTTACATGCTTTCCTCCTCCTCGTTTATTTTATTCGATTTTCCTTGACATTCACACTATCTTTTATGTTCGTCTTTAATTTTTGCTAATTTTCCAGGCTCGAGTTTTCTTTTGAGACTAGTAGGTCTCCCTGTGCCCTTGACTTGTACTTGAACGGATACCTTGCTGTACATTTTAAAACAAAGGTAATTTTGTGCAGCTCTGCCTGGGATAGACCAGGCTTGCCATTTGTCTAATCTATAAATTTATATCTGAAATATCTGTTTATTATTTTTAATTTTTAAAATTAATTAATTTTTTTTTTACAAAGTGCTTTTCCTTTGAATTTATTTAGATCATTTTTGTTTTGATTCCAAATTGTGCTCAGTTTCTCTCTGAGG